AGTTAGAATTGTTGCAAAAGTGTAAACCAAATTTTAAATTGCAATATTAAATATTGTATGCAAAATCAACGATGTCTAAATAAACAGTGTATTTAGTATTATCAATAATATGAATAGGTACTCATGAATTATTTAATAAAAATATTTTCTATTAATTGACCTATTATTATCAATCTCAAATATATATTGAAATATATTATTATCAACTCAAACCTATTATTATCAATAAGATGAATACTAATGAGTTATTTAATAATTTATTATTAAACTAAAGCCGATTATTATGAATAAGACGAATACTCATGAATTATTTAAAAAAATTTATTTTTTTCCATTCATTAGACTCAACAAACTCAACCTGCACCACAACCTCCCACCACCACGGAGGGTGGTGGCTTACACACCACCACCACCACCACCACCACCAATGATAACAATGATAACAACAAAGCAGATAAGCAGAACACTGATAAAGATAACAGCAAAACATTAGTTCAGGTCGATGACCTCGGTGACCTCAGCGACTTCAGTGATGACACGGATGACCTCCTCAACAGAGATGTGGGTTGCCTTCTTATTTATGTGATTTAATTATTAATTATATTTTGGTATATGTAATTTAATTAATAATTATATTTCTCTCCTCTTATTTATATAATTCATTTAATAATTTTATTTCGTTATGTTTCTCGTTTTATTTCATTGTATTTCTCTTTTTATTTCATCATAATTCTCTCTTTTTTTGATTATGTGTCTATTTTTATTTCAGTATATTTCTCTTTTTATTTCATTATGTTTCTCGATTTATTTCATTATATTTCTTTTTATGTCATTATATTTCTCTTTTTATGTCATTATATTTCTCGTTTTATTTCATTATGTTTCTCTTTTTATTTTATTATATATCTCTTTTCATTTAATTATATTTCCCTTCTTATTTCATTATGTTTCTCTTTTTATTGCATTATATCTCTCTTCTTATTTCATTATAATTCTCTTTATTTCAGGATGTTTCTCGTTTTATTTCAATATATTTCTCTTTTTATTTCATTATGTTTCTCTTTTTATTTCATAATATTTCTTTTTTATTTCAGTATGTTTCTTGTTTTATTTCAATATATTTCTCTTTTTATTTTATTATATATCTCTTTTTATTTCATTATTTTTCTTTTTATTTAATTATATTTCTCTTTATTTCATTATATTTCTCTTTGTATTTCATTATATTTTTCTTTTCATTTCATAATATATCTATTTGTATTTATTTTCAATTACAAATTTGAATTCGTCCACTAACATGGAAAATTTTATTTTTACTAAAAATTGTTACTAATTTTTTTCTGAATATTTTTCTGAAGATCCCATCAAACATGAAAATAGTATGAATTTTTAAGAGATTTGCAGAAAGAATTAATTTTATTTTTCAACGTGAATTTTTTTCATCAACGTGAAATTTGAAATATACCAAAAATGCTACAAAAACTTCCTGGTATTTTTCTAGACAATTTTTTACAGTATTAACTGCAGTCAGTTAAAAAGTACTGTAGCAGCTGTAACTGCAGCTGTAGCAGCTGTAACTGCCACTACAACTGCTACGGCAGTGGACGCTGCCATTACTTCCCTTAATAATGGCAAGTGTCCAGCCGTTGTAGTGGCATTAAAGTTATTTAATTTTTTTACTTCTATAAAATTTAGTTTATAATGTTTATATATTATATTATGTTATCTAACTATGTATCAACTTACGATCTTTAGTCGTTATTTTATTATTTTGTTGTTTCGATGTTTAATTAATAATACGTTGACATATTTTAACATTTGACTTTATATTTATTTGGATTTATCATCTATGCTGGTTATTTTATATGTAAGTATACAGGGCTAATGCAATTAATGTAGGAATTTTTATTAAATTTATTTATTCTAAATTTTGTGCTTGTTTCTCAAGAATGGAAGATTTAAATTTCTACACTGTATTTCTTGGAACAAATTATTTAATTATTATTAATTGATAAAAGTTATTGATTAAAAATAATAGAGAATATTTTAGTAAATTGAGTGCATATAATTTTTTTTATTAGCTGAAGAAAAAAATCGTGTGTTTTCTATGCGTTTTTTGTTACTTCAGTGTTGGCGTTAATACAGACGCCACATATTCTGTATTTTTGCACTTGTATGTTGTGTTGACTGACGCGTGTTAGGTTATTAGTCTCGTTTATGTTGTATAAAATTTCTGTTTAAATTTCTCGAAACGTTCATCTGCATATTCTGAAATGTTGTGGTACACATTTTAAAATTTATAAACGTTCAGTTATATTTTATTGTACGTTTGTTTGTATTTTCATAAAAATTCGTTAATTATATTCCGATCATAATTATGTTTTTCTATCATTAAAAACGTTAATTAAAAATTTTCGGAACGTTTTTCAATATTATAGCAAACTTTTGTTCATATTTTCAAACAAATTTGCTTGCATCTTCATTAATTATTTCGTATTATTATATTATTATTTTAATTTTCAGAAACGGTACTGAGTGTTATCATAAACATACATAGTTTCAAATATTTTTGTCTGTATCTTCGTTAATGTATGTTTGTACCTCAAAAAAAGTTCATTTACATTTTCAGAAACATTTATTTGCGCGTTCAGAAACGTTTGTTTTTGTCTTCACAAAAAAACGTGTATTTTCAAAAACGTTTGTTTGTATCTTCACAAAAACGTGTTATTTCAGAAACGTTTGTTTGTATCTTCATAAAAACGTGTATTTTCAGAAACTTTTGTTTGTATCTTCACAAAAACGTGTATTTTCAGGAACGTTTGTTTGTATCTTCACAAAAACGTGTATTTTCAGAAACGTTTGTTTGTATCTTCACAAAAAAGTGTATTATCAAAAACCTTTGTTTGTATCTTCACAAAAACGTATATTTTCAGAAACGTTTGTAACGTTTGTTTGTATCTTCACAAAAACGTGTATTTTCAGAAACGTTTGTTTGTATCTTCACAAAAACGTTTATTTTCAAGAACGTTTGTTTGTATCTTCTTAAAAACGTGTATTTTCAGAAACGCTTGTTTGTCTCTTCATAAAAACGTGTATTTTCAGGAACGTTTGTTTTTTATCTTCACAAAAACGTGTATTTTCAGAAACGTTTTTTTGTTTCTTCACAAAAACGTGTTTTTTCAGAAACGTTTGTTTGTATCTTCACAAAAATTTGAATTTTCATAAACGTTTGTTTGTATCTTCTCGAAAACGTGTATTTTCAGAAACGTTTGTTTGTATCTTCACAAAAACGTGTATTTTCAGAAACGTTTGTTTGTATCTACACAAAAACGTGTATTTTCAGAAACGTTTGTTTGATCTTCACAAAAACGTGCATTTTCAGCCCCCATTGACCCCAGGACGGAGAAAGACGTCTTCGAAGCTCTGCACAAGCAGGGGAGTTCTGGCGAGAAAGGTGAGGTTTTTGTTAATTAATAATTATTTTAGAAAGGTGAGGTTTTTTGTATTAATTCATAATTATTTTAGAAAGGGGAGGCTTCTTGTGTTAATTCATAATCATTTTAGAAAGGTGAGGCTTTTGTGTTAATTCATATGCAGTTATTGCTCTATTCATTAAATTATTTCTAGTAAATGATCTGTGATTCGATTATTAGATGGCCATTGCGATTCTATTTTTTAATGATCAAATAGACAATAGAAATATTTTCAATACGTGCAAGAATTTTTAGTCTTTTTTGCTTGTATATAATTTTAATAGGTAGTTCTGGCGATAAAGGTGAGGTTTTTGTGTTGATTCATAATTTTAGAAAGGTAAGGTTTCTTGTGTTAATTCATAATCATTTTAGAAAGTTAAGACTTCTTGTGTTAATTCATAATAATTTAGAAAGGTGAGGCTTCTTGTGTTAATTCATATGCAGTTTATGCTCTATTCATTGAATAAATTTTAGTAAATGCTCTGTAATTCGATTATTAAATGACCACTGCGATTATTTTTTTATGATCATGTAGACCATAGAAATATTTTCAATATGTGCGAGAATTTTTAGTCTTTTTTTGTTTGTATATAATCATGATGTAAGCAAGCTTTAATTTTCATTACATTCTATTATTTCTGAACCTACCATAAAATTAAAATGATATTAGGTTAGGAATTTGATCGTGCATCAAAATGAACATTGATGACGTAAATGTAACAATTCAACTGATTTTATTTATGACTAGTCAATGGCTAGGAATCCATATGCAATGATTTTTAATAAATGTTAATCTTCATTGATGTTACTGTTGCTGTTGATTTTAATAAATGTTAATTTTCATTACTGTTACTGTTGATTTTAATAAATGTTAATTTTCATTAATGTTTCCATTACTGTTGATTTTAATAAATGTAAATTTTCATTACTGCTACTGTTATTGTCAATTTCAATAAATGTTAATACTAATTAATGTTCCTTTCACAGTTGATTTTTAATAAATTTTAATAATAATTAATGTTACTTTCACAGTTGATTTTAATAAATGTTACTTTTCATTAATATTGTACTCTTACTGTTGATTTTAATAATTATTAATTTTCAATAATGGTACTGTTACTGCTGATTTTAATAAATGTTAAATTTTATTACCCATTCTTGTTGATTTTAATACAGTTGATTTTAATAAATTGTAATTTTAATCAATGTTACTATTACTATTCATTTTAATAAATATCAATTTCTTTAATGTTACCGTTCACAGTTCGGCGCTCAAAGCACTTGCGCGGTCAGCACGAGTTCCTACGTAACCATGAAGTTGTCCTGAGATCCTCCCGAGCTGGGGACGACTACGACAGAACTACGACAACCATCGACGAATTCTACGACCACCACACTAAGGGCTACGATGAACGCTCTAAGGGATACATGGATCCCCTTAAAGCTTATGATGATCGAGCTAAGGGTTATGTTGAAAGCTCCAAGGGTTATGATGTCAGACCTAAGGGTTATGAAGAACGCTCTAAGGCCTACCTTGATCCAGCTAAGGTGTATGATGACCGTGCTAAGGGTTACATGGAGCCTCCTAAGGGTTATGATGATAGGAATAAGGGGTATGGTGAGCCCTCCAAGAGCTATGACCCACGTGATAAGGACTATGAACAACATCACAGAGACTATGATGAACACAGTAAGGGCTTCTTGGATCATCATAAAGGGCTCGCTAAGGCCCGCTCCAGCGGCTACGACAGCTATCCTGGTATGTTGGCCCTTCTATTTATTTGTATAATTAAAATCCTTTCAATTATTAATTTTATAATTAAAATGTTTAATTTCCATCAAGTCATGCTTCATGAAGATCACATTTATGAATTCTTATAACATTAATGTTTAATTTCTATCAAGTCATGCTGCATGAAAATCATATTTATAAATTCTTTTAATAATAATGTTTAATTTGCATCAAGTTATGCTTCATGAAGATGAAATTCATAAATTTTTATTCCATGTCTACTCAAATTTCCCAATATGGTAACTAAATTATAATTTTAATAACAAATTAATTTTTATGTTACAGAGAGGCGCATGGATACTCTTTACTCCCCAGCCTATGACAAATCATCAGACAAGTACTATGACAAATCAACTGACAAGTACTATGACAAATCAACAGACAAGTACTATGACAAATCAACAGACAAATACTATGACAAAATACCTGACAAGTATCATGACAAGATCCCTGACAAGCTCTACGGTGACAAAGATCCCGAAAAAGTCTATAGACAATCTACCGACAAACTGTCGTATGACAAGAACTATGCAGGTAAGTATGACAAGTACGAGGATGTTGATCCGTCAACTTCATTGTCGCAGAAACAAACATACGACAAAGATGTTTTGACGCACGACAAGGCTTATGACAAGACGTTTGACAAGAAGCATAGGCGGGAGAAGCGTCTTGGCAGCTATGGGGAGCCTGGGGATAGGCAGGCCGGTCGAGGAATGGACGAACGCATCCCCTGTGCTAGGAGGTACGGGGAATAATTTTTACAATGATACTAATGAGTCAAGAGGTATGGGGAATATTTCTTTAAGATGATACTAATGAGCTAGGAGGTATGAGAAAAATTCCTTTATGATGCTACTAATGAGCTAGGAGGAATGGCGAATATTTTTAGGATACTACTAATGAGCTAGGAGGAATGGGGATTATTCCTTTAGGATGCTACTAATGATCATATTAGGATTTGATGTCGACTTCAATTCTTGGCCTTGTACATCTTGAATTTATTCCTGAAAGGTGAAAAAGAGTGCGAGTAAGTTTTTGTTTTACTTAAACATCAGGACGATGTAAATATTTGGCCTATAACATAGAACTGGTTATATTGTAGCCTCTAATATAATTTTATTTATTGGATATTATGTTATATATTATTATAATATATATTATATTATATATGAATAATATTATTTATAATATATTATATTGTAGTAATGTCACTAGATTGCTTGAATTGCAGATTCACTAGAAATTTGAAAGCGAAGAAAACTCCATAAAAATTCAGAATTTCTCTATTGAAAACGTTTCGGAGACCAGCTCCATTGTCAGTTCGATAAATCTAGAACACAAATACAGTAAAAAAATTAATAAAGTTTGGAGTCATAAGAAAAACAACAAAAAACAACAGAAGTTAAAACCTAAATTTACAGGCAAAGGGCAGAATAATAAAGAAATACCTATCTATTCACAATTTCTAATGGATAAGAACTGTAGGCAGCATTTAAACTAGGCTTCTCTTTAAAGATATACAATGATTCCAAAATGCGCAGATCGGAAGCACCAGAACTATAAGCTAAAACCTTAAAGTCAGTGTCGGACACCGGAACGTTGCACTGTTCGGCGTGAGTGCGCACAGCCAAATGAGGAGGGCGCGACAGTAACTGCCCAGTCCTATAACTCCTCCCTCTATGCTCAGCGACCCTAGTGTAAACGTTGCGTGCCGTCATCCCAACGTACGCAGATGCACATCGTGCACAACTAAATTTATAAACTAGGGACAATCGCATGTGAGAGATTGCAGCCTCTGATATTGTATCAAATTGCCTTTTAAAGTAAAATATATTGATGTAACAAGCGTATTTATTTACCTGATTTAAACGCTCCAAAATATGACTTTAAAATATTTTTTTTTCAATGTTTACAGGGAAGAAGATAACTGGCCCTCGCCCGAAGAGCTGCTACCACCACCCCACCACACCGACTATCACCACCAGCACCGCAGCTCTCGCTCACCACCACCAATTTCTTCTCACCACCCACACCACCTACCTCCTCACATGGCTGAACACCACCCTGGTGGTGGTGTTCAACCTCGGTTGAGTGACCCGAAAATGATGACTCACTTACATCATCAACCACCACCAAATTCCACGCTTGCTCCACCACAACAACCACCACCACAACCACCACCAACACATGGTTTACCGCCATCTCACCACCCGCATCATCAACCACCACCAGGCATGCAACCACAAAATCCACTTAACCAGCATCCACCACAACCAATGCACCACCAACCACCACCACCATCACAACCTATACAACCACACCAAACCATGCACCAACTACCACCACCACCACCAACCATGAGTCAACCACCACCATCAAACACCGCACCACCACCACCACACAACCACCAGTTCGCAACCATGTCCCAATTCAACCAACCACCACCGAACATCCAACCCCTCAACATCCGTGGTCCCGCTGGGGGACCAAACATCCGTGGGCCCATGGGGGGTCCGGGACAGCTGGGGCCCCCTGGCCCCATGGGGGTGCCATACCGGGGACGGGCTGGGGACTGGGCCACGGGACCGCTGCCGCCGCAACAGTGGGACCGGCCCAACAGGATCAACAGGTCCTGTTCTATGGGACTTTTGGGACTCCAATGGAACTTTTGGGACTCCAATGGGACTTTTGGGACTTTAATGGGACTTGAGACTTCAATGGGACTTTTGGGACTTCGATGGGACTTTTATGGGACTTGGGACTTCAATGGGACTTTAGGAGGACTTTAATAAGAATTTAATGGGGCTTTTGGGACTTCAATGGGACTTTTCTATACTATTTATTAAGCTTGAAAGAATTGATGATAAATGAAATTATTTCGAAAACGTTGCAAAATGTCATAATTCAACTGTTCATGAAAAAATTGTAAGGTTGACCTGGAATATTATTAATACATGTTGATATTGAGTGTCGTAAAATGATTATATAACTAAGGTTTATATAATACCGTTATTGTAACCTTATAACCTTGTAATATTTACCTTACAATACAATTATTATAATATTTAACTGTCAAGAGCAGTGAGTCTAGGTTAACATGGAAAAGTTAGTAATTCAGTGCACTTATTGAAGAATTGATTAAAACATACATAAACGTCTTTGATTTTACTTAAATTTATGGTTTTATTTGCTCATTAGATGAATTAGTTTTAATAATTGATGGAATTTATTCATAATTCATTAACCTTAATTGATTGTCAGGAAATATAAGTTGAATGATATGCATAATATATATAATTAATTTTTATATAATTATATGATTAACAATTTTGTGATTAACAATTATATAATTAACAATTTTATGATTAACAATTATATAGTTAACTATTATATAATTAACAATTTTATGATAACCAGTTATATAATTAACAATTATATAATTAATAATTGAATAAATTATAATTATAATTGTGACTGAATAATTAATTGTAATTAATTAACAATTTTATGATTAACAATTATATAGTTAATAATTATATAAATAATAATTTTATGATTACCAATTATATAATTAATAATTAAATAATCAATAATTATATAAATAATAATTTTATGATAACCAATTATATAATTAATAATTAAATAATCAATAATTATATAATTAACAATTATCTAATTAATAATTCTACGATCAGGTCAGAAGACTTCAGTGAGGCTGGTGGCTGGAGTGGCTCAAGCGTGGCTGCTGAAGTGGCTGATGTGGCTAGTGGCCAGGCTGACGGTGGCATGTGGCTAAACAAACGCCACATGCATGCCATCCCGCCACAGCCACATGACAATCCTGCATGGCAACATGCCAGGTAAATGCCATGTCTATGTTGCTCATGTCTATGTAGACATGAGATCTGTGTACATTACCTGTATACATTATCTGTGTACATTACCTGTGTTCATTATCTGTGTACTACACAGGCCGGGACTGCGGGAGGCCGGCGCCATGATGCACCAGGACCCACACAGCGGTAGGTTCTCTGTATATTGCTGTGTAGTGACTATACAATGTAGGTATATATATATTGACTATACAATGTATATTAGTTATACAATCTGTGTATTGACTATACAATGTATATTAGGTACACAATCTGTGTATTGACTATACAATGTATATTAGGTACACAATCTGTGTATTGACTATACAATGTATATTAGGTATACAATGTATGTATTGACTATACAATGTATATTAGGTACACAATCTGTGTATTGACTATACAATGTATATTAGGTACACAATCTGTGTATTGACTATACAATGTATATTAGGTATACAATGTATGTATTGACTATACAATGTATATTAGGTATACAATGTATGTATTGACTATACAATGTATATTAGGTATACAGTGTATGTATAGACTATACAATGTATATTAGGTATATTATCTCATCAGATGAAATTAACTAAATTTTATTCCATATAATAAAACACGGGTTATAATTAATTATGATTATCAATTAATTGAAATAGAAACTGCTGTTACTGTTGCTACTGTTACTGTCACTCCTGTTACTGCTGCTACAGTAACTACTGCTACAGTATCTACTGCTACTGTTACTGCTACTGTATCTACTGTCACTGAGACTGTAACTGCCGATACGTCATTTGCTGCAGTGAGAACTTCAATTTTTTTCAATTCGGAAATTTTTTTCAAAATTTGCAATTTTTTTTATTCGGAAGCAAAGCGGGATATTTTTCGTTAAGTCCCCATTTTTATGTTAAAAAATTTGAGTTTGAAAATATAAATGCAGGATTTCATGAAGAAAGTTTGGGAAAAAGAAATGGAAAGTTGATGAAAATAGTTTGAAAAAATTTAGAGAAAGTTGGTTTCAAAGCATGAATGAATGATTTTTAAGTAATTAATTAAACTAAGTTGATTAATTGAAGAATGAATAACATTTACTCAATAAATAATGAATATATATTGATTTGTTTTATATCCGTTGTAAAAATATATGTAATATATGTTAGTAAAATATAATACATGTTTATATATATTAGTTGCCTATATCGATCTTAAAAAATATAGTTTGAATCAATATTTAATATTTCGACAAACTAAATGTTAAATATTTCAAAAGCAGTTTATTCTTTCAGGCTGAAGCAACTGAAAATGAAGGAGGTACTGTAGCAGCTGTAACTGCAGCTGTAGCAGCTGTAACTGCCACTACAACTGCTACGGCAGTGGACGCTGCCATTACTTCCCTTAATAATGGCAAGTGTCTAGCCATTTTAGTGGCATTAAAGTTATTTAATTTTGTTACTTCTATAAAATTTAGTTCATATTATGTNAATAATTATATTTTGGTATATGTAATTTAATTAATAATTGTATTTCTCTCCTCTTATTTATATATAATTCATTTAATAATTTTATTTTGTTATGTTTCTCGTTTTATTTCATCATATTTCTTTTTTATTTCATTAAATTTCTCTTTTTATGTCATTATATTTCTCGTTTTATTTCATATTTCTTTTTTATTTCATTATATTTCTCTTTTTATTTCATTATGTTTCTCGATTTATTTCATATTTCTTTTTTATTTCATTAAATTTCTCTTTTTATGTCATTATATTTCTCTTTTTATTTCAATAGATTTTTTTTTATTTCATTATATTTCTTTTTTATTTCATTATATTTCTCTTCTTATTTCATTAGGTTTTTCTTTTATTATATTTCTTATTTTTGTCTCTTTATATTTCTCGTTTTATTTCTTTTCAATTCCAAGTTTGAATTTGTTCACTAACAAAGAAAATTTTTCTGAATATTTCTTTGAAGATCACATCAAATGTGAAAAAATAGAAAAATTTAAGAGATTTGCAGAAACAATTTGATTTTTTGTATAAAATTCAATTTATTTCAATTTTCACGATCATTAACTTGAAATATGAAATATGCAAAAAATGCTACAAAAAAATTCCTGATATTTTTCTCGAAAACTTTTTTCGAGATCAACTGCGTCAGTCAAAAATAATTGATGTGAAATTTTATTTTTCGGCATTTTTCTTAAATTTTTAAATGATTATTCTGTGTGGTAATGATTATTTTTATAGTTAGTAATGAATTTGAAATTCAAATGCTGAAGATAAAAGCTTTTCTGTATAATTTGTATCAATTGATCTGTATTTATGTAGATAAATTGTCAATCAACACGTTCATGGGACTTGCAAATATCAAAATAAATGGTTTAAATTATTAAAAAAGATACTAATCATAATTAAATTGGCAAAAATAATGATCTAATAATTGTTATTTTATTATTGTTAAATTTAATAATTTTTTAATAATACTTTATTTCAAACAGGGAAACACAGCAACAGGGCCTGATGAAACTGCTGTTACTGTTGCTACTGTTACTGTCACTCCTGTTACTGCTGCTACAGTAACTGCTGCTACTGTAACTACTGCTACAGTATCTACTGTCACTGAAACTGTAACTGCCGATACGTCATTTGCTGCAGTGAGAAATTCAACTTTTTTTCTATTCGGAATTTTTTTTTCTAAATTTGTAATATTTTTCTAAAAAATTCTAAAAATTCAAAATTTTCAGAATTCTAAAAATTCTAAATTCAGAAGCAAAGCAATAAATTTTTCATTAAGTCTCTCATTTTTATGTTAAAAAAATTTAAGTTTTGAGTTTGAAAATATAAATGCAAGATTTTTTGAAGAAAGTTTGAGAGAAACAAATGGAAAAGTTTATGGCAATGATGAAGTTGATGAAAATAGCTTGAAAAAATTCAGGTTTATGATAAAATTGGTTTCAAAACATGAATAAATGATTTGTAAAGGAATTAATAAACTAAGTTGATTAATAGATGAATGAATCACAATTACTCAATAAATAATGAACACATATTATTTTGTTTTATATCTGTTGTAAAAATGAAGTGTACAGTAATATATGTTAGTAAAGTATAATATGTGTGTATACCTATATATATATATATTAGTTACCTATGGAAAATAAAATTTACAAATTTTTTCTATTTTCAAAAAAATTTGCTTGCATATTTATTAATGTTTCTTCGTGTTTTAAGAAAAATTTTATTTTAATTTTCAGTAATAATAATGAATGTTTTCATAAACATATGTACATAGTTTCAAATATTTTTTGTTTGTATCTTCCTTAATGCTTGTTTGTACTTTAAAAAAATGTAGTTTCAATATATATTGAATATTTAAAAATTAGTTTATTCTTTCAGGCTGAAGCAGCTGAAATTGAAGGTAGTACTGTAGCAGCTGTAACTGCAGCTGTAGCAGCTGTAACTGCCACTACAACTGCTACGGCAGTGGAAGCTGCCACTACTTCCCTTAATAATGGCAAGTGTCCAGCCGTTGTAGTGGCATTAAAGTTATTTAATTTTTTTACTTCTATAAAATTTAGTTTATAATGTTTATATATTATATCTGTCTCTTATACACATCTAGATGTGTATAAGAGACAGGTGTAGNAAACGTGTATTTTCAGAAACGTTTGTTTGTATCTTCACAAAAACGTGTATTTTCAAAAACGTTTGTTTGTATCTTCACAAAAACGTGTTTTTTCAGAAACGTTTGTTTGTATCTTCACAAAAACGGGTATTTTTCAGAAACGTTTGAGGAGGAAGAGACGATGGACTTGGAGGAAATCAGCGACGACGATCTAGAGGACGAGCGACAGGCTAAGTTCAGTGAGTTCTGATTTGTGGCAACGTTCTGAGTGCTTAGGATGGTAATAAGGTAATTAGTGCTAAGCCCTAGGATGGTTATAAGTTCTAAATAAGTTCTAGGATGGTTCTTCTAAGTCTAGGATGGTTCTGAGTTCTAGGATGGTTCTAAGTTCTAGGATGGTAGTAAGTTCTTAATTATAACCATCATTAATCCCAGACGTTTGTTCAATAATTGTTCAATTATCACAACATAATCAAATAAATGTTAATCAATGGACGGCAGGTACGCGCGGCCTGCGGTGATCGGCGCGGTGTTGGCCCGCTGCCGCGCCCTGCCGGGGCCCGGCCTGCATCACGTCATCACTCACGGTTAGATGTCATTATTATTGATATCTGAAATCTATATCAGATATCATATTATAATATAATATTATAATATTATATTATTATTATTAGTATAATCATTGTTATCTACGTTATCATTATTGTTATTATTGTTGGTATTGGCGTTATCATTATTATTGCTACCTGCATTGTCATTATTATTATTAGAGTATCATTATTATTGCTATCAGCGTTATTATTATTATTATTATAATCATAGTTATCTACGTTATCATTATTGTTATTATTCTTGCTATCGGCGTTATCATTATTATTGCTACCTGCATTGTCATTATTATTATTAGAGTATCATTATTATTGCTATTGCATTCATTACCATCATCACTGTCATCAGTCCAATAATTATCATTATATATATTTTAAGCTTCATCACTGTCAGTACCCTATCAGTGAAATTATCATTAGCATTATTTATAATTTCAGTATCATTATTATTATTATTATTATTATTATTATTAGCCAATATGTTTACGAGAAATATTTTGTCCGTAGTTTGGTTTAGGATGAAATGGCTATTAAAGAGCATGTCAGTTTATTGTATGAAATTTTTATAGACGTTCATGGGTTATAGCACGTTTTTTCTGACTCAAAATGATTGTTTTTTAATTTTGGAATATATTTTTAAGGGACATTTGTTTTCCATGTCTAAATGGGTGCTTTACGTATGAGGAAGGTTTTTTTTTTTTTTGTTACCGGATTATTATTTTCCGTATTTAATTGCTTGTTTGATGTATATGAATGGTTGTTTTCCATATAAAATTGTTTTCCTTTATGAGAGGGTTTTTTCGTATTAGAATATTGTTTTCGCTGTGCATGTGTAGGGTTTCCATATTTGGAAACTTAGTAGGCATTTCATATAAAATTATCGAACTATCGATTGATTAAGAATTAAAATTTATCCAGCCTATGCATTAGAAATGATGAAATGAGACGAAAAATCTTCATTTATTCTATTTTGTTAACAAAATTATCTGGTTACAGATTGTGAAGAAGGAAACGGCAAGGAAGAAAAATTTTCACCCATCCCTCCTTCTGAAGACCAAATTCCCACCACTGCTAAGGAAGTTGAACCAATTCATCCTGACCAAAAATTGGATGAAAAACTCACTCAAGATACTGCGATGGATGTCAAGATGGAAGCCATGGATGTGGATGAAGTGAAGAATCTAACGCACGATTCCACCCAAGAAAATTACAACAAAAACGTTGATGAAAAAACTGTTGTTCCCGCGGTTGTCTGCAACGCTGGGGTTGTTAAACTCCTCAGATTCCGGCCTCTTGTTTGCTCATCTACTGGAATTTGTGGTAGAAAAAACGTAGAAATCGGGGATATATTCATTCCCAAAGATGGAAATTGCAAAAAATCTAGGGAAATTGATGGAAATTTAAAAAATTCCGGCAAAAAATCTACGGAAATTAACGAAGATTTCAAAAATTTGCAAGAAGAGCGCAAGGATTACCAAGGATCAGCTGGAGGAGGTGAACGTGATGGAGAAGTTACTGGTGGAGATGGTGGAGGTCTGGTGGAGGCTGTAGCTCCTGGTGAAGAAGTTCTTATGATGGACACCGGCAGCGTAGCTTTGTCTGCTCGGCAGGACATACGTATCAGGTGACGTAGACATCTGACTTTCAATTGCCTGTGGAAAATTTTTTTGACCTGTGAAAAAATTTTCTCACCCGTGAATAATTTTTTTGGAATGCTGAATAATTTTTTTTACCGCTGAATCATTTTTTTGAACTGTGAATAATTTTTTTACTGCTGAATCATTTTTTTGAACTGTGAATAATTTTTTTACCGCTGAATCATTNTCCGTCTGTCCGTGACCTCAAGTTTTCGTCGACGAGAAAATGCGCTCTCTGTCACTCACTGCAGTGAGAACTGAGTTACATTTTTTGACCTTTGACCCTTTTTTCTTGAATTTTGACTCTTTTTTTACCTTTGTGACTCACAGTTTTTTTTTTATCTGTGAATCATTTTTCTACTATTGACTCCTTTTCACATTTCTCATAATTTTTTCGACCTACTTTAAGTTTTTTCGCTCTTCGATCTTTTTTTAAACCCTATGTTCATTTTTGGCCCTTTGATCTTTTTTGGACCATTTAATCTTTTTTGTGACTCTTCAAATCTTATTGGACCCCTTCTTCCTTTCTGGACCCTTTAATTTGTTTAAAACTGTTCTCTGAGACAGCCCTCGAAACCTTTTATCACCTCCTACGACCTGCACCTTTTTTTTAATATCACCTCCCACAAATGTCGCAACCCTTTATTTCGACGAGAAACCATAACTTTTAGACCTTAAACGTTGTTTTCTCAATTACTCTTTCTTCATGTATCTACCTCACATGTAAAAAGACCTTGTGACATATAACGAATAAGTGTTAGTTTCCAGTGAATAATGTCGTGATATTTTGTATATAAGACTGGCGACTCGTTCAAATATTTGTTTAACTCTAAGTATCTGACTAATCTTGAAGCAACTGAAATTTTGCTATTTTCAAATCATGTCAGATTTTGTTATACATGCAATTTTTTCATCATTTCGCCAAACATTTGTTTGAATTGTATCGTAATTTGTATTGTAACGTTAATTGTAACGTTTGTTATTGCTTTTTATTTCAGGCACGAGCTTTGCTGCAATATTTTTTTGAACTGTGAATAATTTTTTTACCGCTGAATCATTTTTTTGAACTGTGAATAATTTTTTTACCGCTGAATCATTTTTTTGAACTGTGAGTAATTTTTTTACCGCTGAATCATTTTTTGAACTGTGAATAATTTTTTTAACCGAATCATTTTTTTTGAACTGTGAATCATTTTGTTACCTTTAACCCCTTTTTTACCTGTGAATAATTTTTTGACAATTGATTGTAACGTGAATTTGTGTGAATTGTAACATTTGTTACTGTTTTTTATTTCAGGCACGAGCTTTGCTGCAACGACTCCTTACGTCAGCTGCTGACTGTACACAGCCTGCCACACCAGCCTGCCTTTTGAGTCTGACTGTACACAGCCTGCCTTCTGAGTCTGACTGTACACAGCCTGCCTTCTGAACCTGATTGTACACAACCTTCCTTCTGAGCCTGACTGTACACAACCTTCCTTCTGAGCCTGACTGTACACAGCCTGCCTTCTGAGCCTGACTGTACACAGCCTGCCTTCTGAGCCTGACTGTACACAGCATGCCTTCTGAGTCTGACTGTACACAGCCTGCCTTCTGAGCCTGACTGTACACAGCCTGCCTTCTGAGCCTGACTGTACACAGCCTGCCTTCTGAGCCTGACTGTACACAACTGTGTAAACTGCTATTGAGTACAGTCGTGTGCAGCTACGTTACAGTCACCATGAAATGTCATCGCTGACAGTTTGCTCTATCATCTACACCCGAAATTTCTTTACCGTTCCTTACTCAAATTCTTTCATTGTATAAACGTCGTTTCATTTGTTAATTTTTCGTGTGTGTACATACTTTTTTCTCCTAATCTCAATTTTTTCTATCTTGAATTTTCCACGCGTACGAACTTTTTTTTCTAGCGCTTTTCCCAGTATTTTCTAGGTTTCATTCGTCAATCTATTTGACAAACTCGTATTTTCTCATAGTTTTCACTTCAACTTGAGAAATTTATTTTCTCATAGTTTCCGCTTCAACTTGAGAAATAATATTGAGAAATTTATTTTCTCATAGTTTTCACTTCAACTTAAGAAATAATATTGAGAAATTTATTTTCTCATATTTTCCGCTTCAACTTGAGAAGAAATTTTGAGAAATTTGATTTCATTTGCGCTACCTGCAAATTTAGGAGCAAAGTTACCATTGTAAAATATTTTTGCCTATAAATTATCTCTATATCGCTAATTATGCAAATATTGCATAGTGATGAATTATCTTACGAAAAGCATATTTGTTATATTATACAAACAACCTCTCGTTCATGAATGTTCATCACCGAGCAGGTTTGTAAATTACCTGGCGTATTTATAACACATTTCTAGCAATTCTCCAATTCAATATATTTCTTGCAACGTTCTCTATTATCATTTATGTTCTCTATTATAATTTATCATGATTTCCTTGTAGGCGCTTGAGGATTAAAAACACGCTGACTAGGTTTATGATGAGGTTAATGGAAAAAAAGGATTCTAGATACTATTATTTTATTTTAGACAAAAATCTTGAGATGTTTGATAGGTAATGGAAATCACTGTGAAAGTGACAATTTATGAAACAATTGCCTTCACAATACTTGTGTAATTCATGTAGCTCCATTGTCATATCTGGTTACGGAGATTTTTAATTTCATTGTCGTAATATATATTTGAAGTTAAATTAAAAAGAATGTGAATGTTGGAAAATAAGCAAACCCCCACAACAGAGCAATTAAATTCCCCCTAATGCGGATTGAAAATTTCCTTAAATTAGGAACTGGCAATTCCCCAGAACCGGTGAATTAATATGCCCCACAATGAGGAATTGAAATTCCCCACAATGGGGGAATAGAAAATTCCCCACTTTGGGGGAATAGAAACAATCCCCACAATGGGAGAACTGGGGATTTCCCACAATGGGGGGATTGAAAATTCCCCACAATGGGGGAATAAAAAATTCCCTACAATGAGGGAATAGAAAATTCCTCACAATGGGGGAATAGAAAATTCCTCACAATGGGGGAATAGAAAATTCCCCATAATGGGGGAATAGAAAATTATGAGGGAATAGAAAATTCCTCACAATGGGGGAATAGAAAATTCCTCACAATGGGGGAATAGAAAATTCCCCACAATGGGGGAATAGAAAATTCCTCACAATGGGGGAATAGAAACTTCCCCATAATGGGGCAATTGAAAATTCCCTACAAAGGGGAAATAGAAACCTCTCCACAACCCCATCGTGGAAAATTTTTAATTCCCCGCAATGGCGAAAAAAAAATTCCCCACTAAAAGAGAAATAAAAATTCGGTTGAAAAAATTGATGCGCCGCTTTTTCCAATGTAATAACTTAATTCTTGATATTTAAATTATAAATTTGAATTTTGTGCCGTTCTTTAATTATCCTAATTAATCAACAAGTCAAACGTGTTATAATTATACTGAAATGGTGGCAAGATGAAACACTTCGAGATAAAAAAAAAATGACGCACAAAAGGGCTAGTGAATTTCAAATGATCACTCGTTGACACTAACGTGCCATAGAATTATGTGCTTAACGCTAGTTAATGGTGAATAGTTAACGCTAGTTAATGGTGAATATCACAGTCGCCATCGTAGAACAGAGATCGCCTCGTATGATAACGCAGCTGAGCAGACGGTTAGGGTAGAATAAATGGATAGTGAGTGGTTTTTTAAATGGGGATGAGAAGTAAATTAAATGGTTAGGAGTGGTTAATTAAATGGGGGTAAGAGGTAAAATGAATGGTGAGCGAATGGTGCCTTTCGAAAGAATCCCGAGGCATGAGAAAGAAGCATCATGCCTCGTGAGACATGACAAAGAGGCGTCATGAGGCATGAGAAAGAATCTTTGATATACAATGAATCAGTGACCATGTAAACGGAATGAAGGGAAATAATATGAGGCATGTAAAACAGTAGGAGGTATGAGATGTCTACAAGGCATATGAAAGGGTCTGAAAGGGCAGCATGTTAGAGTAGGGGGCATGAGATGTGAACAAGGCATATGAAAAGGTCTGAAAGGGCAGCATGTTAGAGTAGGAGGCATGAGATGTCTAGTAGACATATGAAAGAGTCTGGTAGACATGGAAAAGGAGGCATGAGATGTCTACAAGGCATACAAAAGGGTCCGGTAGACATGGAGAAGGGGGCATGAGATGTCTAGTAGGCATATGAAAGGGTCCAGTAGACATGGAGAAGGAGGCATGAGATGTCTGGTAGACGTATGAAAGGGTTTGGTAGACATGGATAAGGAGGCATGAGACGTCTAGTAGACGTATGAAAGGGTTTGGTAGACATGGAGAAGGAGGCATGAGATGTCTAGTAGACGTATGAAAGAGTTTGGTAGACATGGATAAGGAGGCATGAGATGTCTACAAGGCATACAAANACAGTTGCGTACGTGAGTTTCCCAGAAGTCTTTGATGTCCGAGAGCAGTTCTTGCTTCACTGACGTCGGCACGCTCTCTGAATACAAAATTATTATTAGCGATGCAAGAATTTACTAAATATTTTGCATGTTTTAAAACTAAAAATATATTAAATTAATAATAGTTGACATAAATTACAAATTCATTTATTTTTGTTGAGCATTAAATTTTTTGTTTAGCAAAAAAATTTTGTTTAGCATTAAATTAAAAAAAGAGAATTGGACCAACCCACGTCATTACACAATTAATTAATTATTGGTTTGAAATAATCCTGATGCTGCAATTAAAGTTTTTTGTAGTTTTTGGAAGGCAGATCCTAAAATTTTAGCCAGGAAATCCTCGATTTAATTATGATGATAGAATTATATTTATTAGCAGTAAAAGGTTGTTTAGACAATAAAAAATTATATAAGAATAATGATATAATGATAAGAAATAATAAGTTCATGTAGAGGAAATTATCAAATTTGTCCGAGATTCAGAAAAACATTTTGAAAAATGAAAACTAACAAGAGAGTTGGGAACTTGAGCCTTCAACATTATTTATGCATTTATTTAAGGAGCTTGTTTTAGTAGAGTGTCAATAACTATACACATATACGTACATAAGGTATACGGTAATGACTTCCCTTCATGATTTTATGGATGGGGTCACATAGATATTTATATTTCCATATATCCATTCCAAATATCTATATTTATTTATAGATATTTAGTAGATTATGGATAATTCCATCAGATAATCCTAGTGAGAAATTTGATAGAACATCAAAATGATCTCAAACATGTATAAAAATCACATGAGTTTCATTAATCCTTAAAGTAATATCAAGGACTTGATCCAAAAATTGAATATGTGAGACATTAATGACATTAACTTCATACATTCATTATATGAATATGAATATTTTTTATATCATCAGGCTAGTACCTTAGATAGTAGGTACCTTTGGCATTGAAGAATAGGCCTGGATAGGCCTGTTGCCTAATTCAAATATACCTATATTTATATATAATTATAATATAATTTCTATTTGAAACATAATATGGATAATATAATATATTATCAGATATTATTTTATAATCATATTTTATAGAAATAATCATGATATAGATAGCAATGGCAGCACACCCACCCCTGCCACGGGGAGTGATTGCTCTGACCAGCTCCTCTACTGTGATGTTCTTCAGGCCGCGCTCCTTCACCACATCCTTGGCATGAGCCTGTTAAATTTATATTTTTTATTCCAAAAAATATTTATATTCAAATTTTTATATTTATATTCCCCCACATATTTATGTTGAACCACTTCTTATAATATTTATTATTATAACCACTTCTTATATTAAAATGTTGAACCACTTCTTTGGCATGTGCCTGTTAAATTTATATAACAAAATTACCTAAAAATATTAAAAATAATTAGGTAAGAAATGCACAATAGAATGAATTTAATCAATTTGAATTGCATAGCAGTGGACTGTAGTAATAATAGGAATCAGGTAATAAATAGGAAATAGAAGAGAGCAAGTTCAGAAATGTGTCAAAAAGTTGAATTTTTTCCATTTGCTGCTCATTTTTGTTCAATTATGACACATTTACAAAAATGTTTAGGAAAATCTGGGTAGTTTCAGCAAGATTAACTCTTACTACATACAGACGAAACAATAGGTACCTACACTAAGTTGATGAAGAGGTTACTCAATATACCTAGGACAACTAGAAAAGCAATTGGAAAAATTAGTGAGATGATGAGTAGAAAATACATTATGTATTAACATGCCTATATGGGCGTGCCTACATATATACATTATATATAGTACCTATGCCCCTTTTACTGCCTATATGGCAGGAAAAGGATAACTTCAAAATCATCCTTTTCCTCCCATCTTCCTAACCACTCCATCCACTCATGCTATCATATCATAGTCGAAACAGTAAGTCTGCTTATGTTTACAAAAAAATTTCTTATGTTTGAATGCTTTATTTACTGTATTTATATTTATTTAGCTTCAGTTATAACAGTTCTTATTAAAAAAAATACCTATATTGCCTGTATCTTTTATATACATATTACGGAGTTAAGAAGGACTAGGAACCAATTATTTCTATTTGCATTGTTTCTCAAGGGAGAAATTATTTTGGCTGACAAACATTTCAGTTAACATCCAACATTATGGAACGGATTATTGCCAATAACCGGAGTTCTACTGTACATTAGTAAGCCTGCAAAATGGTTATTTTTTTCTAGGCAATCAAATTTTAAATTGCTGGTTCAATCAACCTTTATGTAATTCTCTAAAATGTCCAATTACTTACTAAAATCAACGAAAATGTTATTCAGATAAATAAATCATTTGTGCATAAAATAATAATATTGAATAATTTTTGAATAATTAGAAGTAAAACCAAATGGTAATTACATTGTACATCTTACATCAATTATAGAATATGAACTTACCTTCATGTCATCTTTCCACCCACTCTCAGTGAGTCTGTTTTTAAGCTTTTCCTTGAGCCGCTCCTTCTCTCCAGTTTCTATCAACATGTTGTTGATAACTCGACGTACCTCACTACTACGGTCATTCATTGTGAAGGCTATTTTACACAGTCTGGAGAAAGGAATAGATTTATTAAAGGTGTCTATTGCTGAATAGCCTGTACACTAACACCAGTATCCTAAATGAGAATGTGTTCAAAGGAATATTTTTTTCATTTTGTGTATGCTTATATGAGCAGTTAAAGCTGTTTACCTATACGGAGGCTATACCTATTTCCTGAAAGAACAACAGAGGTTCTTGCTTCAAACTGGTCAAAGCCTAATGCTTTCAGGAGAGCTCAAGGCTTTGCATTAGCAAGGTAGGGTAAACGCACCATATTCCGACACCTTAAGGACGTAGCAAGAAATAAATGGCTATAAACAGATCACCGTATGCGCAACTCGAGTTCTGATCGGTTTACGACACTCTCAAAACACCACGCTATGCGCCAGCAATGATGAAACATCACAAACTGTTGCCATATTCATTTAAAAGCCTTAAGAATTCAAATCTACAAAATTGCTGAATTCCGACACTGTGTGTGACTAAATGTGGCATATTGTGAGACTAGTTCCAACAGTGCTTCAAAATTGTAATTCATAATTCCGACACACTGTGTTGGAATTCCGACACCCTGTGTCAGATTACGACACCCTGTGCGTCATAATTCCAACACCCTGTGTCGGAATTAGTTTTTATGTGTCTAAAACCGTCTCTTAAATCAATCATCTATTAATTTATTTACCACTTAAAATCAGCAAATACAAGTACTGTATACTTAAAGAAGTTAAAGGATTCCTAATATATTCACAGACTTATATAAAAGTCTCAAACCATAATATTCTTTCTACACAAACAGTTTATCACTATTTAGTAAAGCAAGGTCAACTATCAACTTTCATACGTGTTTCGTTCTCACTACTCTGACTTGGACTTTCGCTCTGCGGATCTTAACAATTCAACATTGTCCGCTAGACCTAGTGGGTAATACTTTAGATTAAGTGCATCCAAAAAAAGGGTGTTTTTTTTAATTATATGTTTTATGGGGAGCAGATTAAGAATCTGAAATCCATTTTTGGCGGTTGGCATCAGAAATTTTTAATGAAACCTGTTCCTAACTGGACCTAACCTGCGAGGTTTTCTTTGATTGGCTAGGTTTTTCCAGCAGCCGGATGGACTCCAAACATAGAAAAAACCTAACCGATCAATGAAAACCCTGCAGGTTAGGTCCAGTTAGGAACAGATTTCATTAAAACTTTCCGATGCCAACCGCCAAAAACGATTTCAGATTCTTAATCTACACCCCAAGAAACATTTAAAAACACCCTTTTTTTGGATGCACTTAATCTAAAGTAATACCAACGGCCAACCTAGTGTTTTGTGGAAATCTTGCGCAATAGTATGACATCACTATTTCAACCATCTAGGCATGAGTGGAACTAAGACCAAGTTTAATATAAAGGAAAAAGTTAAGGGGTGTTGGAACTTGGAATTACCCACAGTGTTGAATGTTGGAATATGGTATGTTTATCCTATGAAGATTGAGACATTGGTGCACACTGCAGTCTGCAAGCAGGATAATGTTGTACAATCAGGCACACAGCTGATTTTAGTTATTATATTGCTTTAATGTCATAAATCATGAATGAATACAATAACCACATTCCACATTTCTGCTGCCAAGTTGTTTATAGGTAACTGGCAAGTGGCAACTTCACGTCTTCACCCAATGAAATTGAATGAATGGCCAGCAGGCAGCGGCCAGTGGCTAGAGCCCTAGAGCCTAGATGCAGCACAATATTTCTGGCAGCTAGCACTAGCAGATTATCTCTTTCCCATGATTGCCTCATAAATCAGTAATTCCCAATAGCTAATGGTTCGTGAGTTTTAGTCCACCCACTGGCCACTGGCACTGCTGGGAGAAATACGATATTAGACTTACATTTTTCCGTTATAATTAAAAGTTTACTTAACTACTAAGTAGTGCTGACGCCTGACAATATATGTAATCATAATGTCAAATTTGTCAATAGTTTGAACAATTGACATTGATCACAAATAACTAGAAATCTAGTACCTATAGAACTCAAAATTTCATACCTTCATCTTCATTCCGCTCATTCGTATTCACATTAAAAAGGTAAGACTAGGAGATTTAAAACAAGATTAGGTAATAGGAGGCAATAAATAAACAGGAGAAAACTCGCCCTGCGTGAAAGCAAACCGTGATAAACTATAAAACGTTACGTTAAAAGCAGCCTCTTGACCTAGAGGCTAGAGCAAGAGCACATCTCACCGTAGAGGACAATCTAGACCAATCCGAACCACCCTGATTTTAGTCTGAAGAGCGAAGACTGAAGAGACACAAATGAGTCAATGAGTTATGAGTGCAGCGAAGAAAAAATGCAGATATGGCGAACAAATGATCCATGAAATGCTGCGGCCGGGATAATTCCGCAAATTTAAAGAGTAGTAAAGTCACGCTTTTCACGTATAGAAAATTAATACGTATCTCTATCGTACATCACGCCATCGTGGGTGCAATTTATATCAAGTTTTTGTCTTTTAATGTGCATATATATTACCATGAATTTTTTAAATAGATCGCACAATATTTTACGTTTGCACTGGTATATACGGTGCTAGAAGAGTCGTCATGCGATGCCCCGACTCTCGATAGCATCATAGCTGAGGCCCTCATCGTTTATGATAGGACCCCAGCCATCAACCTTCAAACTACTACACCACGCGGCACGCACATTAACCCGTCATTTAAGGGGCTATAAAAATAAAAAGCTGCTGCAGCAACTGCACGGCGAAGGCGTCAGGACGAAGTAGCAGCAACCCGTGTCCACCGACGCAGGAAACCTGAACACATGCGTGAAAATCTCACAATGATGGAGTGACTTATGTAGAATTGGTCATTTCTTTATCAAGTCATATTAATGTTCAACCTAGTGCGCTTCAAATTACAACCAGACAACAAACTTGTATTAAGAAAATGCCCCTGTAAGAATCAGAGTTTAAAACTTAAAATACGATAAGAACGTTGGTTCAGTTCTGTGATTAGGTACAACTNCTCACTCTTTCTCTCTCTTCTTCCTCTCTAAGTAGCCTTTCCGCTTCTTCCTCCTCTTTCTTGAGACGATTTTCAATGAATGTGTTTATCCATTCCTGAGCTGCTGACACAAGCGTGAACACCATTGCCATGCCAGCACACTCTGAAAACTGACAAAAACCACACTATAAGACTAATAATAATTATAGGTAATAATTATAATAATAATTTAGGCACTGACTAGAATCATTGTAACCATTGTAATAATAAGAGTTATTTATGTTTTGAGTCATTTGACTTCATTACCAATGAATATCAATGATTAAAAAATTACTCCTTAAGCATTGCAACATCAAGTAAAATATTGTTGAAGCTTATTTTCAAACAATAATTTTGCATGAAGAAATTCACCAGAATACCTTCCAGAAGAGAGCAGTCTTCTCAAAACTATTTTCCCAGTAATAGTTATTAACTTTAATGTATTTCAACATGCAAAAGCTGTCTCTTATACACATCTAGATGTGTATAAGAGACAGAGTTTAGATCTTCTGTGAACAAGGCACGAAAAGTGCAAGAATCGGCGACAGGCCACATCAGGCCTACACTCAGCGCCGAGATCACTATGTTATGTTACACCACATTCTATCTTATATTTCGAAAAACATTTTCCATAGCCGTGTGAGATTTCAGGATGTTAATTGCGTATATCTCCCTCAGTATATAATGGAGTGATAAATTGTCACATGCGAATAATCAATCACTGATAATATGTAAATCTCCACTCATCGCTCAATAAAAACTCATACAACTCGCATTACTTTGAGTATTGACTATAGTCATTGCAGTGTCAGGTTAAGAAAGTTTAGCAAATACTTTTTACAAAAGTATCAAACACAGCAAGTGCAGAACGCTTAATTAAGATGAATCAATCACTTATTTCATGTAAATCACCACCACATAAACACTTAGCGCTCGCTGATAGTGCTCATAGCAACAATGATCGAGACGGGGTCATTGTTTCAGAGGTTCAAATCTTGTATCTCGTACAGCATTTAACAAAGAGTGACAAGGTTAAATCCTTGCAGGCGTGAATACATGGCCTTTACTTTTAAAAATAGACACTGTTTTGTCAATAAAATTCAAGATTGATTGCAATTCGCGTCATAATTACTTGCATTTACCGTCTCAAACTAACAAAACGTTAGTTTTAGAGTTGGACGTGTCACAATTTCCCATTAAACGATTGCTAGAAATTCAGGGAATAGGTTGCACTGTTTGTTCGTGTCATAACGTCAATAAAAACTGCTCAAAGTCTAAAACATATCAGTTCAAGGATAAAACTGAAAAATTCCCCTCGAACCTTCCTTTATTCTCAATGACATCAGACACTGGATTAACGAATGTTGAACGCAGCTCACTACAATAACATAAAATGTATGAACCGTGTTTTTTTTTTTACTTCCTATCGTTTTCACTTGGCCACAGCGGTCCATTCAAGACTGTCCTGGTTTCGTCAGTCTTCAGAAACTAGAGTTGTTAGAGGGTAACAAAAATGAGAATGACAACATATGAATTATCATGCAACATCTAAAAAAATTGTTCACTTAAAACAGAATAAATTAATAGCAAATCCTTGAAATAGCACGAGATAAGGAAAAATTTATTCATATGAGCTCAAATCTATACAAGACTGATTAAATTCATGGCAAATACGGTGGTACCTCAAATAGCTCGATATGAGAAAGAATTAATTCATTTAGACTGCATCACATTAAAACCTATTAGGTTGCACATTTATTTCAATTAAATTAGAATTAGCTTTTACTTGTGGTTATCAATTGATTTGTTAGAAAAAAATCAGACTTAGTATTGATTACAATAAAGATATTTTCAGTATGGACATTGAATACAAAATGTAGTGAAATTATCTAGAAATTTAAATTTGAATGGAGTTATGAACAAAAAGTGAAAACATATGCAGTAAAATACTTCAAATACATAGCGGGATCAAAACAAATATTTGAATGGGAGCCAAAAATGGTATTAAATCCGTTTAGCTTAAGGCTTGTAATCAGGATCGTCATCTTCATCATCGTCGTCGAGCTCCAAGTCGTCAAGGTTTTCAAACAGCGTCTCGTCCACCGCCACTGCCGTGTCACCTGTAATAAAATAATAGTAACTTAAAAATATTCTATTAAAAATAAATTGAAATTTATTTCTATTGTTGCTATTATTGCATGCCGAATTGATCAAATTCAAAGCTAGATGTCAGGATGAATTCATTGTAAATTGGTTACATTTCGTAAGGATAAAAAAAGAGGAGTAGCAAATGAAATTTATATTTTTTGTACACATCACAATGTAGAAAAATATACACAAAAAAACTTTATTTTTTTCCCTCAATTTAGTTAATGGAATTCAGTGGGAGCATTGAACTAAAACATTTCTTCATAGAATTTTGTAGGATTTTGATTAAATGCAAAATTTTTATTATTTTTCTCTTAGCATCCCAGTAAGAGAAAAGCACAGAACATCCTGAAGGAAAAGTTGCAAAAAAAACTCACTCTTTCTCTCTCTTCTTCCTCTCTAAGTAGCCTTTCCGCTTCTTCCTCCTCTTTCTTGAGACGATTTTCAATGAATGTGTTTATCCATTCCTGAGCTGCTGACACAAGCGTGAACACCATTGCCATGCCAGCACACTCTGAAAACTGACAAAAACCACACTATAAGACTAATAATAATTATAGGTAATAATTATAATAATAATTTAGGCACTGACTAGAATCATTGTAACCATTGTAATAATAAGAGTTATTTATGTTTTGAGTCATTTGACTTCATTACCAATGAATATCAATGATTAAAAAATTACTTCTTAAGCATTACAACATCAAGTAAAATATTGTTGAAGCTTATTTTCAAACAATAATTTTACATGAAGAAATTCACTGGAATACCTTCCAGAAGAGAGCAGTCTTCTCAAAAGTATTTTCCCAGTACTGGTAATAGTTATTAACTTTAATGTATTTCAACATGCAAAAGAATGTTCTCAGATCCAAATCCCTCTTAAATATTACCTGCAATAAATTATATTCTTTCATCAATCATACCTGTTCTTCCAATAAAGTTCTCAATGGAAGGCATTCTTCTTCTTCTATATTTTGGAAGTCCAGTAGTTCCATGAGAGGAGGCTCATCAGGATACTTTGGTGTGTATTCAAACTGTAGTGTGAAACATGCACCAGGTTCTTGTTCTGTGGAATCTTCATTTCCTTGGTATGTGTTTGACTTGACCAAGATGGTAAACTTGTGTAGAGGAGAATCTGATATAACTGAAAGGAAAATAAATGCTTTGGAATGATGACAATTAATAAATGTTTATAACAATATAAATATATAAAAACTCAGAAGCTGTTTCTATCTAAACAGATATTGGAAATGTTTCTGTTTATAGAAATTTTGATTGAACAATATTAGCTGCAACTTCAAAGATACATTAAATTGGAAGAAAATGACCATACAGAACATATTATAGATCAAAATTGACAAACACCACTTTATAATTTGAAATATTTTCTTATATCCCAGATACTATATTAATGTGGAATATTTCGCAGAAATTTCTAATAATTTCTTTTAAAAAAGGATCATCTCAATGGTAATTTTTTAATTCACAGGCAAAAATATAAATTTGTAGCAAAGAATTTAGGCAAAATGCAATAGGAATAGCTGGAATTGACTTCAACTCCAAGCAAAAGCATTTTTGCTCAATTTTCCAGCTGATTCTACTCTGACTACTGTAATTTGTAAGTAAAATACAGCAAAATATAATTTTTTTCAAAATAAAAATGGCATACTTATATAGGCTAAGTTATAAAATCATTATTGAAACAAAACACACAAATTCAACTGAAATTGGTGCAAACAAAATTTAAATTCTTAAAAATTAAATGTTCTAGGATCTAAAATATACATTATAATATAGATTTAAATTTCAAATAAAAAACTGAAAAATTATCAAATTTCCAGATCATGTCCTTTCTGATTGAATTCAAGTTTCAACTGTTTGGTAAAGCTGTTCCACTCCCACTCAATTATTGATAGAATTTTTTAAAATATAATCCTAAACTAAAGCATCTGGCGAATTAAAATGCACGAAAACCCCAAGGCCCCAAATCCTGTCAACTAGCCTAACTAGTGGCTCAAGTTTAAATTGCAATTAATATCGTACTCACGTTGAAACTCCTCAGGATAAATAGATTCCAATGCTTCAACTTCGTTATTCTGTTCTTCTTTATAGTCTGTCATTTTTATTTGTATATAATTTATTTAGTTTAATCTTCTTGTTATCACTTAATATTTGCTTACATCGGGTGCGCGGATCCCCTTATTTTTGCCGAAAAAATCGTACCCAATGAATGCAGGTTGCGTGCAATTTTACATTGCGGATTTTCTATTCCTCTCCGCTACTAAGGAAAATATTAAATTTGTAAAAATTATATTGTTGAATTGCAAGTGAGGTACTCAGGATTTCCCATACTAAGTGCAATTTTTACCTAAAAAATACCAATAGACGTATTTGAATTTTGGATTCGGAGGCGTGGTGATTCTTTATACAGGAGTCAGGCCTCTACATTGGCCATCTGCCAAGTATCACATGTTCGTTTTGTTAGTAGGAGAGAAGTGTGAAATAATGCCAGGTAGAATCGACAATAAAGCAGAGGCTAGAAGGTTCGAAACTTCGTCTTAAGGGTGAGGTGAAATGCGGTGAAAAATAAATTCAAAAGGGAAATTTATTTGGTCTATTATTTCTATGTCCCATTTATTGCATTGTATTATTTAAAGTTCATATTAGAAATGATATCCTTTAGGTCCCGAATAATTACTTGTACCCTATTACATTATTATTATCGTTACAGTTATTCTTGTTTTATTATTGCCTTTTTCCTTTATCCTTCAAGCCACCATTCTCGCTAACTTCTTCCTCTCCCTCATTCTCCAGGCACTCTCCACATATCGCTGCTCATACATCCCGTTCTCTCATACCTCACACCATCGCGACGGACCTAGAAATGTGCATAGAATGTAATATAATGTATAAGATGATGTTTTATGATGTATATACCGTTAGCAGTGTATAATAATAAATAAAACCACAAACAAACAACGAACACCATAACTAAAAAAACTGTGCTGCAACTTCTCCACGCGACATTTCTTCTCGCTTCGAATCACCGACATGTGGAACAGCCTCCCCGATGACATCGTTGGCGCTCCTTGGAGCTCCAACGCGTTCAAGAACAGACTAGAAAAAGCTATGGAAAAATATATATTCAGATTTGAAATGCCTAGCACCATATCGAACCCGGTGGAAGTCTAGTAGCTACTTCAAACTATCGTCAGTCATGAAAAGATCCGGTCAAATGATACGATTTTAGATCTTCTATGAACAAGGCACGAAAAGGAAAAGAATCGGCGACAGGCCACATCAGGCCTACTCTTTAGCGCCGACATCACTATGTTCTGTCATGTTATAATTACTGCGGAGTTGAATCGATTGCGCTTTAAATTATTGGGCCAGTTCTGTTAATAGAATAGTTATTTATCGTTTGTAGACCGATAAAAAACAGCGACAGAAGTTCTAAGATTGCATAAGCGACATTGCCTTCTAATTGATTTCTGAGAATGGTGCCCGAATAACAATAAATTGCTGTAATTTTAGATCCCCAGTGGCACCAAGTTTACCATAATGTAACTACTAACGAAATCGTAATAATGGATATATTGGGAATAATTCCCACATAAATACTAAATCTAATTCTATGTATGTAACATTTTCCTAATAATGAATAATTTGCGCAAAACATCAAGTATTCCGAACATAAAATAAAGAGAACAAAAATATCCCTAAGAATCCCTAACTTACGTAGGACTGAATACAATAATTAAAAAAAAAAATTATGAAGGTATCATCATGAAAGGTAATATAAAGATATGAGAATACGCAATATAGATCATTTATTGAGCCATTGCCCTCTGTACTGAAGGTGGCCGCGAAGATGTCGGCCCGAGACATGCGGGCGGGTGGTGTTCAGGATGCGGGATGAAGAAACCATTAACTTATTTATGATCTTACGTATCGTATAAAAATATTTTATTTATTTATACTGTATCTTACTTAGCTAAATAATAAGTAATGCTTGCATATGCATGTACTATTATAATAAAATCGAAATATTATAATAAAGTCGAAAGTCTTCTTTTCGCAGGTTTCGAAATTTAAATAAAGTCGAAAAATCTACAATGGTAATGTATCTATAGTTAGCTTTATATAAATGATATATCTGTATGAATGCACTTATTTATTGTAGTAAAAATTTTCGGAAATTTGTCAATAATTTTAAAATATCAACAGTATATTAAAAATTTTAGTTTATTTACTGTTAAGATAAACAATACTCAGGGTGTAAAGAGAGAAAAAATACGAGGTTCGATTGTACTGTTGTAAATGTGGTACCTAAACATAACACGTATATATATTATATGTTTAGAGTTTCAATATACAATAATAAGAAGTTCTAAAGAAAAAATCTGGTTTTAATTGATATTGAGGCCACTGGTTAGTTTATATCCATATATAATAATTTTTTTGTATTATTCCTGTATTTTATCCAGCGCACTTGTTAATGCATACCAAGGAAAACACAGTTTTTATTGTTGATTAGGACACAGAATTTAAACAAAAAAAAAATCATGCAAAATTCTAGCAAATTTTGAATTAGTCTTCATTTAATTCACTGTATCTTACTCATTCAAGGTGAGGTGGGTAAAATGCCGTTCAAAATGTTTCATGATTTTGAGTATAAGAAAAATGAATAAGAAAAATGTATAACTCTTTCTTACACTTTTTAAGAAACATATAAATACTTTTTAGTGCATTTAATATCAATTTTTATTACCAATAAGAATATTTGGATAACGCGACTTGTAAAAAAATTGGCCAAAGGGAATTAGTAATCGTTAAATAACTAAAAATAAAGGACTTAAATAGGCATTCATGGGCGTACTATTAGTGGCTTAACGGTGTTTTATTGGTGGCGTTAAGGTGTGTTTTCGGTGGCTGGCCGCGTGCGTTTCGTCCACAATTATTGATAAGGTAACATAATTACCATAGAGCTCTGCTGCTGCAGTCTGCAGTCTGCTGGAGGGTGTGAGCGGTGAAGCAGTGCTGCATGAGTGCTGCATGAGTGCTGCATGAGTGCTGCATGAGTGCTGCATGAGTGCTGCATGAGTGCTGCATGAGTGCTGCATGAGTGCTGCATGNTACACATCTAGATGTGTATAAGAGACAGGACATAGATGATTTAAAGATCAATATTACTATTATGAATAATAATATTATAAATAGAAATATTATTATAATATAAATATAAATAATAATATTATTCATATTATTATTTTTGTATTTTTGTTATTGCTATTACAAGAATTGAAGTTTAAATAACAGGGTGAAGCTGAATCGTGTAAGGTCATTGCCCCTCGTCTTCTGTGTGAACACAAGCGTTTAAAATACACAGCGTCAACACAGACCTGTGTGCGCGGTAGCTGCGTCCTGTGTTACAGTAAACAACTTTGTGTACAAGATTATCTTTACACATTTTAAACTAGTACTTCCATGAAACAATTTATTCCACAGTTAAATAATGCCATTGATCATTTTTTATAAAACAAATCATTATTATAATACTTCTTACTCAGAACAAACGTTTTAAAATCCCTTGCTTAATAATACCATACACCATTAAACCATTATTATAGAACAGATCATCATTATAATACTTCTTACTTAGTATGAAATTTTAAAAATCTTTTTATAAATGATCCTGAATTCCTAATAATAAAACTTAGTTTTTTTATGTACACACGCATAAAATTGTAACATTTTTTCTAAATTATTAATGTAATGATACTTGAATACGTTTTACTATCATCCGTCCCAGGATGGTCGTATCATCGGTGGCCATGAGTAGCACACTCACGCAAATGGTGGCCGCGGTATGGGTGGCCACGGTGGTGATGGGTATTGGTGTGGGGGGCGTGGAGGGGGCGCTCGTCAACCCATCGTTCATCCCGCTGAGTAACATCGTTGATAACCTCCCTGTCGGCAAGCCCCCCGGGGTGAGTGAAATAAAACGGGGGTGAGTGAAATAAAACGGGGTGAGTGAAATAAAACAGGGATGAGTGAAATAAAACGGGGATGAGTGAAATAAAACGGTGGTGAGTGAAATAAAACGGGGATGAGTGAAACAAAACGGGGGTGAGTGAAATAAAACGGAGATGAGTGAATTGAGACGGGGGTGAGTGAAATAAAACAGGGATGAGTGAAATAAAACGGGGATGAGTGAAATAAAACGGTGGTGAGTGAAATAAAACGGGAATGAGTGAAAAAAACGGGGGTGAGTGAAATAAAACGGAGGTGAGTGAAATAAATAGGGGATGAGTGAAACAAAACGAAGATGAGTGAAATAAAACGGAGGATGAGTGAAATAAAACTGCGGGTGAGTGAAATAAAACGCGGGTGAGTGAAATAAAACGTGGGGATGAGTAATAAAACGGAGGTGAGTGAAAATAAAACGGGGTGTGTGGAATAAAATGGGGGTGAGTGAAATAAAACGGGGGTGAGTGAAATAAAATGGGGGTGAGTGAAATAAAACGGGGGTGAGTGAAATAGAATGGGGGTGACTGAAAGAAAACGGGGGTGAGTGAAATAAAACGAGGATAAGTGGAATAAAACGGAGGTGAGTGAAATAAAACGGAGGTGAGTGAAATAAAACGGGGGTGAGTGAAACAAAACGGGGGGTGAGCGAAATAAAACGGGGGTGAGAGAAATAAAACGGGTTAAGTGATATAAAACTGGGATGAGTGAAATAAAACGGGGGTGAGTAAAATAAAACGGGGGTGGCTAAAATAAAACGGGGGTGAGTGAAGTAAAACGGGGGTGGCTAAAATAAAACGGGAGTGAGTGAAATAAAACGGGGGTGAGTGAAATAAAATGGGGATGAAGGAAATAAAACGGGGGTGCGTGAAATAAAACGAGGGTGAGTGAAATAAAACGGGGTGAGTAAAATAAAATGGGGGTGAGTGAAATAAAACGGGGGTGAGTGAAATATAACGGGGGTGAGTAAAATAAAACGGGAGTGAGTGAAATAAAACGGGGGTGAGTAAAATAAAACGGGAGTGAGTGAAATAAAACAAAGTGAGTGAAATAAAACGGGGGGTGAGTGAAAAAAGACGGGGGCGAGTGTGTTAAAGAGGTGTTTTGGATAAACTCGACTAGAATCATGTTGCAAGTCTATTCTAATAATAACAATGGAACTAATACACATGCAATTATCTTCAATTAATTAATTAAATTAATCAAATTAGCTAAATAATTGATGGAGTAATTAATTAATTAATCAAAATAACTAATTAATTATTTAAATTCAATAATTGATCAAATTAAAAAATCAATTTAAATAAACTATTTGATTAATTTAATTACATTAACTAATTAAATTTAGCCAGAGGATCTGGTTCTATAATTTTCATTAGAATGATTCAAATGATTGCAGTAATATAAATGATCAGAATGACTGAAATTATAATTATTTAGAAGATTTAAACGATTTAAATTAGAATGATTCCGATTAAATATCGTGTTATTATGGTGAGTTATTAATTATTAATCAACACCCCCCCCCCAGCTGGAGGATGACCGCCCCGGCCCCGCCCTCTCCCCCGACGAGTTCGCAGCAGAGATACCGAGTAATTATCATTTATATCATTATTAAAAATATTTTATTTGCCATAATTATCATTATTATTGTCATAATTAGCATAATTATCATTATTAAATTAATGCAGATAAGCTCACTTCTTACCTATCAATGCAATACTAACAAACGAATAATATAAATATATATATATATCATTAAATATTTTAAATATTGGAGAAATTTCCATTAAGTAACGAAACAATGTCTATTAAAAAGTGTCCATTAGGTAATGAAAAAATTTCTATTAAAAATGTTAATTATGCAAAGAAGAAATATCTATAAACAATGTCTATTTAAATTGATGCATGCAATGGAAAATACTTATTATTCACTGTACTTTTCACAAAATTAATTTAATTGAAAGTGGGTGGATGAATTTCAATGACGATTGAACAACATTTTCAGACTATTCATAATTACAGAAATATGAATTAAAATTTTGCGCAAAAAAAAAAAAATCTTCTTGGGGAAATTTCCAAATCAAAATCTTCGCATTTATCTTTCATAGTTTTTTTCAATTTCAAATGTTTTTTTTATTTTTACTTGCCGAGAAAAAGTTATAGAGTTAATGAGAGTTAATTTAAAGAGAGTTAAAGAGTTATAATGAGAGTTAATTTATTGAAAAATAACTTGAGAAAATTAATTTAGTAAATCAGCGTATATCTTTTCAGCGTAAAATTTTCAGCCTAAATTTTTTCAGCGCCCATTCCTTCAGCGTAATTTTTTCTCCGCCCCCCAGCGGGGGATTTCGTGGACGACGGGGGGGCGGGCGACCCCCTCGAGGATCCCAGCGTCTTCCAGGGCGACATTTGGTTCAAGGATGAGGAGGAACGGCGCCTTATGACGCAGGTTATGACGCCTTATGACGTAGGTTATGACGCCTCGATAAGTATCCTGGATACGCGCCCCAACAGCCCCTATATACCCCGACACGATATGTATCCTGGATACGCGCCCCAACAGCCCCTATATATCCCGACACGATAATTAAGTATCCTGGATACGCGCCCCAACAGCCCCTATATATCCCGACACGATAAGTATCCTGGATACGCGCCCCAACAGCCCCTATATATCCCGACACGATAAGTATCCTGGATACGCGCCCCAACAGCCCCTATATACCCCGACACGATAAGTATCCTGGATACGCGCCCCTAAATGATATACAAAAAAATTTCCATTATATATCTATAAGATTACATTAAGATTAAGATTATTATTAATGAGAGCATTATTATTAATTAATATAATTAAGAATGCCCCCATACCCCCCGCAGGAGTACACTACGGGCAGCCCCCGCAATGCGGTCCTGCAGCCCGACCGCCTGTGGCCCCACAAGGAGATACCCTACGTCTTGTCCTCCACATATAGTGAATTATTCATTAGTTAATTAGTTAATCACTAATAAAATTAATAAATGATATAAATTAGTTTTATTAATAAATTAAGCTATTACAAATTTTAATAAATTACTTAATTAAAACTTCTATTGAATGATTTTATTACTAATTTTAATAAATCAGCTAATTTCTGATTTTAATAAATTAGTTAACGTAGTTAACGTAACGATAACTAATCTTATTATTCGATTATTAAGCTGAATTATCACATAGAATAAAACATGAGTCATCTTGTACGAGTAGTGACTTTTGTGCAAGTAGCGCTAACAATCTAGTTTTCTCGCACAAACTGGGTCAAGATGACCCAGAAAAGCGCAAAATCGTGCATCGCTATTGGGACAATATGCCACTTAATTATCTGAATGTTTTTATACGCAATAACAGCGTAACTGTTGACTGTTTTTCAACTGATCAACAACGCAACTGTTGACTGTTTTTCAACTGATTAACAGCGTAACTGTTGACTGTTTTTCATCTGATCAACAGCGCAACTGTTGACCGTTTTTCATCTGATCAACAGCGTAACTGTTGACTGTTTTTCAACTGATTAACAGTGTAACTGTTGACTGTTTTTCAACTGATCAATAGCGTAACTGTTGACTGTTTTTCAACTGCTCAACAGCGTAACTGTTGACTGTTTTTCAACTGATCAACAGCGTAACTGTTGACTGTATTCAACAGACACCCAGCAACGGATCCTGATCTCGGCTGCCATCAAGGAAATCGAAAGCAAATCCTGCGTTAGGTTTGTGCCTCGCAAGACACAGAAGGATTACATTCATCTGTACAAGGGGGAGGGGTGAGTACAGGGGGGAGGGTTGAGTACAAGGGGGAGGGGTGAGTAGACCTGAGGGATGAGCACTCTCACATTTCCCTCACGTTTCCTTCACATTTTCCTTACATTTCCCTCACATTTCCCTCTTACATTTCTCACATTTCCCTCACACATTCCTTGCATTTTCCTCACAATTCCCCTACCTTTCCATCCCTTCACGCTACTCTCTCATTTCCCCTCACACTTCCGCTCCCATTTTTCTCACCTTTCCCTCATATTTCCTTCACATTCCTCCACATTTCCCTCACATTTCCCTCACACACCCCTCATCACATCTCCCTCACATTTCCCTCACATTTCCCTCAGATGCTCAAGTCAGATCGGCAGGATCCACAAGGACCAGGCTGTGTCCCTGGCCGACGCGTGTCTCAAGTTCGGCGTGATCGTACACGAGCTCATGCACGCGGTTGGCTTCTGGCACGAACAATCCCGCTTTGATCGTGACGATTACATCGTCATCAACTGGCATAACATCCGCAGCGGCATGGAACATAACTTCAGGAAGTACCAGTGGGACTTTATATCCAACCTCTCCATGCCTTACGACCTGGGTGAGTTGATATTTTCGGGTGAATTGATATTTTCAACCTCTCCATGCTTTACGACTTGGGTTAGTTGATATTTTTAACCTATCTATGCCTTACGACTTGGGTGAGTTGGTATTTTCAACCTCTCCATGCCACAAGACTTGGGTGAGTTGATATTTTCAACCTCTCCGTGCCCTACAATTTGGGTGAATTGATATTTTCAATTTTTTCATGTTTTACAACTTGGGTGAGTTGGTATTTTCAACCTGACCGTGTCACACCACTTGGTTAAGTCATTACAACAACGATCTGAAATTTTGCACACTTGCGTATAGTCGGAGACAATGTATGAATAAATTGACAGAATAAATAATTTTGAACATTTATTTTTTTAATATTAAAAATGTTGAAATTAATTTTTTTAATATATTAAAATAAAATTAGAAATTCATTGTACATGAGTAACATCGGAGACACTGGATTCTTTAGAAGTGTTGTCTTTAAAAAGTAATTTTCAAACGCATATTATTAACAATTTTTGGATGATTTGCCTGTTGAGTTGGGTTAATTTAGTGTTAAACGTACGTATTCCTTTCATCCACCATGTTACAACATTCAACCTACCAGCTAACCAAGTCCTCTCCCGCCCCCAGACTCCATCATGCACTACGGCCACTTCTCGTTCTCGACAGACCACAAGAGAGGACTTAAGACCATTGAGCCTCTTGACGGAAAGAGCCTCATAGGCCAGCGCCGGGGACTGTCCAAGGTGATGGGGACTTGGAGGCTGGAGGGAGAGGGGTCTTNCTTAGGCCGCTACGTGTACTTGGGCCGCTACGTGTACTTAAGCCGCTACGTGTACCTAGGCCGCTACGTGTACTTAAGCCGCTACATGTACTTAGGCCGCTACGTGCACTTAGGCCGCTACGTGTACCTAGGCCGCTAAGTGCACTTAGGCCGCTACATACGGCTCCAGTATTATACAATTTTTAAAGATGAGTGGCGAGATAAGTGTAGTGTCTGTTGAGTGGCGACTTAAGTGTCATTGTCGCTATCATTATTAATTTAATATTAAATTCTATAGTTATATTTTAAACTATAGGCTGAGATTTTTTTCATTGTTTACGTTTAGGCTGAGAAATTTGTTCATCACGTCCGCCTATTACTGTCTCTTATACACATCTAGATGTGTATAAGAGACAGGTACAGGGGGGAGGGTTGAGTACAAGGGGGAGGGGTGAGTAGACCTGAGGGATGAGCACTCTCACATTTCCCTCACGTTTCCTTCACATTTTCCTTACATTTCCCTCACATTTCCCTCTTACATTTCTCACATTTCCCTCACACATTCCTTGCATTTTCCTCACAATTCCCCTACCTTTCCATCCCTTCACGCTACTCTCTCATTTCCCCTCACACTTCCGCTCCCATTTTTCTCACCTTTCCCTCATATTTCCTTCACATTCCTCCACATTTCCCTCACATTTCCCTCACACACCCCTCATCACATCTCCCTCACATTTCCCTCACATTTCCCTCAGATGCTCAAGTCAGATCGGCAGGATCCACAAGGACCAGGCTGTGTCCCTGGCCGACGCGTGCCTCAAGTTCGGCGTGGTCGTACACGAGCTCATGCACGCGGTTGGCTTCTGGCACGAACAATCCCGCTTTGATCGTGACGATTACATCGTCATCAACTGGCATAACATCCGCAGCGGCATGGATCAATATATATTTTTGACATTAAGCCTCACGAAAACATTTGCTGTGATATAATTAATTATTCATATCAGGAAATATATTATTAATATTATGTAGCTTTTATTTCATTAATATTAAAATTTAATAACTAAAGTTTGATTAATATTTGAATTTAATAATTAAAACCTATCTAATAAGGGGTTGATAATTATCTTTGTTTTAAATAAGCATAGTTAACAAGTAAATTTAATAAATTAGGGCTGATCATTATCATTATATTTTTTTTATTATAGTTTAGTTGACATTTTTTCTATTAGCGAATAAAAGTTTTGTCGATACTAATGGAATTTTTTAAACAACGCATTCATGTTGCTCTCTACTTAGCGATGTATGTGAATTGTTGTCTCTACTCAGCGTCGCATATAATTGTTGTATCTACTTAGCATTGTATGTGAATTATGGTCTCTACTTAGATTGTACGTGAACAGTTTGGTCTCTACTTAGCGTTGTGTGCGAACAGTTTGGCTTCTACTTAGCGTAGAGACCAATTACGGAGAACAGTTGAAGAGCAATTAGTTGAACATCTAACTTGTTCTCACGTTGAACAAGGTTGAAACAAGGTCAATTCTTCGTAAAATGTTCAATAATTGTTGATCCATCATTGGCTGGAGACCAATTATAAGATTCTTATTGTTTGTTACACTCAGAAAATGATTAGGTTGTATTGTCCAAAAATTCATACGTTTTCTTGCTCGCGGCACGAACAGAGAGCGGACGTAGCACTGATACGTTTTTTTCCGGGCTAAACTGTGTCAGTATGACCCACATCCGCAAAAAGTTCGCCGCTATTCAGTTAAACTCTCACTCCTTTTTTTATTCTTATTTATTATTAGTATTTTTATTAACTTGTAATAAAAGTTATTTATTATTATTATAATTTTATTATATTTATTAATATTATTATTATTATCATCATTATTATAATTAATTATAATTATATAATTATAATAATTAGTATAATTAATTATTATTATATATAATTATAATTTTTAATATTATTATTACTTATATTATTATTATTATTATTCAGGAAATAATGTGTGAACTAGCGCACTTAGTGCTGCTAGTGACTGTACTAGCGCTGCCATCCAGCACGGTCGGTTTACTGCCGGGGGAGCGCAGTTCTGACCCACTTAATGACATCGCCGCCATCTCCCACACCGACACAAACTTGATGCACCTACCCATCGGCAACTCCCCCCAGGTGTGTCATTGGTGATGGGGGTGATGGTGGGTGATGGTGGGTGATGGGTGATGGTGGGTGATGGGTGATGGTGGGTGATGGGTGATGGTAGNAGACAGCTCTTGATCATAACCGCGGTAATTAATTGATTAATTATTAACATATTAATTAATAATATAAATATTATTAAATATTATAAATATTATTTAATTTACTTTTTAAATGATAATATAAGAAAAATAGCCTTGGTACAATAAGTTGTAGGTATACGCTATTAGTTGTTAAATATATTCAATTATTTATTATTTATAATTGGTTAATTATCAAATTTCAATTATTCTGACTGTTTGAAGGGCTTAATTCAATATTTTCGGCGAAAACTTTAGTAAAAATGTACACGGTAATTTAGGTAATAATTTAGGTGCTAATTTAGTTGAATGTTTATGTAATAATTTAGATGATAATTTAAGTGATAATTTCGGTGCCAATAATCATAATGTGTTAATTAAGTTGATGATTTAGTTGATAATTCAGGTTACAATTTAGGGGATAATTTACACGATAATTTAGAAAATAATCAAGTTGATAATTATGGTAATAGTTTAGATGATAATTTAGTTGATAATATAGTTGAGAATTTAGGTAATAATTAAAATGATAATTTAAGTGAGAATTTTGGTGAAAATTTAGGTGATTGTGTAGGTCATATTTTAGATGACAATTTAAGTGACAACTTTGATGATACTTTAGGTTATTAATTATTTAATTACCCGTTAAAGTCTTCCCTATCTCTTAGCAGTTAGAAAGATAAAAAAGCCATATTGTGCAAAGTATCTGTATTTAGTATCAATTCAATGTTGAGGTTTCAATTATTCTGATTATTTTACTATAAATTTGATTATTATTTATTTCAATTGTGTTTTTAATTATAATAACTATAACTCTACAATTTCATTATTAATTACAATAACTATTACTTATACAATTTCATTATTAACTATAATAAAATTTACTTTAAAATTTAATTATTAATTATAATAACTATTAATTTACAATTTAATTATTATTTATAATTACTATGACTTTACAATTTCATTTTAAATTATAATAACTATTACTTGACAATTTCATTATTAACTATAATAACTATAACTTACTTGACAATTTCATTTTTAATTATAATAACTATTAATTCACAATTTCATTATTAATTATAATAACTATTAAATTACAATTTCATTATTAATTATAATAACTATTACTTTACAATTTCATTAATAATTTTAATAACTATTATTTTACAATTTCATTTTCAACTATAATAACTATTACTTTAAAATTTCAGTATTAATTATAATACCATTATCTTACAATTTCATTATTAATTATAATAACAATTACTTTACAATTTCATTATAAATTATAATAACTATTACTTCTATGATTTATTTATTAATNCAAGCCATAGGCCTACTCCTGCTGCAAGCCATAGGCCTACACCTGCTGCAAGACATAGGCCTACTCCTGCTGCAAGCCATAGGCCTACTCCTGCTGCAAGCCATAAGTCTAGTCTGATAATCTTCATTAGTTTCAATATCATTAACTTTGAAGGAAATAACTATCATTTATAAATTTCATTAAATGTAACTTCCGTAAATCTTCTTGCCATAAAAATGCAACTGAAAAATCGCCTTTTCTTTACCCATGAGCATAATTCTAAACTAGCTAGGCCTAGTCTTGCACCTAATAAAAACCAAATGCTTTGTCCCATAACTACGTATGTGCTCTGCATAGGCCTATTGAATTCATTAGGCCTAAGCAAGTCCAAATTTTCACCTTAGGCCTAGTGAGCCCATCAATTAAGTTCAGATTAAAAAAATTTACTAGACTTAAGAAGGCTCTACAATTACTGCTAACTAACTTCAATTATGCCCCAGACAGGCCTAGTAATTATTTTAATTAGGTAACGTGAGCGTTTAATAATGTAAATGACACTTAAGTCNCGTCGGGACCACAGATCAGCACGATCAGCAGCAGAAAATTCGTGGCCCACATGGCGTGGTCCCGCCGGGCTGTGGTCCTGTGGGACACACGACACCGTGGGAGATAACAAAGAGATAACATACATGGATAACATACACAGGTAACATACACAGATAACATACATAGATAACAGATAAAGTGTCGTGGTGGTGCATTTAACAAGCCAATATTTATGATCGAAAAAACACTAACAAAAAGGCAGCAAAATTTGTGACCAAAGTGGACCAGAAGTGCCTCCTAGTCCGCTACGTGTACTTGGGCCGCCGCTACGTGTACTTGGGCCGCCGCGACGTGTATTTAAGCTGCCGCGACGTGTACTTGGGCCGCTACCTGTACTTTGACCGCTTCGTTTACTTGGGCCGCCGCTACGTGTACTTGGGCCGCTACGTGTATTTAAGCCGACGCTACGTGTACTTGGGCCCTTACGTGTACTTGAGCCGCTACGTGTACTTGGGCAGCTACGTGTACTTGGGCCGCTACGTGTACTTGAGCCGCCGCAACGTGTACTTGGGCCGCTACGTGTACTTGAGCCGCTACGTGTACTTAGCCGCTATGTGTAATCAAGCCGCTACATGTACATGGGCCGCTACGAGTACTTGGGCCGCTACGTGTACTTAAGCCGCTACGTGTACCTAGGCCGCTACGTGTACTTAAGCCGCTACATGTACTTAGGCCGCTACGTGCACTTAGGCCGCTACGTGTACCTAGGCCGCTAAGTGCACTTAGGCCGCTACATACGGCTCCAGTATTATACAATTTTTAAAGATGAGTGGCGAGATAAGTGTAGTGTCTGTTGAGTGGCGACTTAAGTGTCATTGTCGCTATCATTATTAATTTAATATTAAATTCTATAGTTATATTTTAAACTATAGGCTGAGATTTTTTTCATTGTTTACGTTTAGGCTGAGAAATTTGTTCATCACGTCCGCCTATTATATCTGTAACGGTAATTAAAATTATCTTAATAACGGTGGTTAAAAATATAAATTTTGTATTAATTTTGTGGTGTATTGTTCATTATTAAAAGTGCACGCTAATTTGTGTTTTATTGTCCGTTATTTTAATTATATATAATAAAGAATATAATGAATGTATTTGGCAATGGAAATCTACAAATAAAAAGAAGACAAAAATAAAATACAAGACGGAGAAAGCGAATTTATCAAGCAAAAATAATCTTACATTTAATAAAGAAAGAGTTAAACTAGAAGAAACTTGTTTAGTAAGATAACGAAACATTCAATTCCAATTATTTATTTCGTGATAATAAAAAATGGAATGATGTCATATCTTTCTTACCCTCATTATTAATGAGAATAAAGATAATCATTTTTTGGACATGCATTAGCAGGTTAAAATGGTTGCAGGTTAGGATAGTTAGCCCAGTTGTAACATAGGATGGTTAATACTATTGATCCTATAAAAAGCAGGGGAAAATAGTGATATTTCATCACTTTATTGTGTTAACAATATATAACTACATGAATAATATCATCATTGTGGGATGCCGAAGCAACTAGAGATAATTTCACGAACATAGATGGCCTTGGTAATGTTTATTAGTTTCCGAGCGCAAAGTAATCTAGATGATAGCTAACGATAAAATCTACGGAAATTACTACACATGTTTAAATACCCTTAGGCCATTAAAAGTCGAAAATATTGCACCTCATGACGCTGGTTGCCTTTTAAATATTAGAGTGAATTAAGTACAATATACATAATATTCATACTTTGATGGGTATATATATTTTTTGAATAATATATTAGTTTTTGATGACAATTAAACTGCCTCCGGTCTCATGTTTAACGGCCAGTCTAGTCAAGAAAAGCACAAGAATCGGCGACAGGCCTATCCAGGCCTATTCTTTAAAGCCGAAGATACTATACTATACTATACTATGACCATCACGAGGCAGCGATGTATCAAGATATTCAATATGATGTTGATTTTATCTTCAAATAAATTAACGTTTAATAGTGTATAAATAGTGACACCATTTCTTACCCATATCACGAGCTGGGTGCTAACGTAGCACTGATGCGCCCTTTTGCCAGGCCAAACTGGGTCAGGATGACCCATCAAGGGCAAAAAGTACTTCGTTATTTGGAAAAAATCTCACTCATTTCTGTGAGTGAAAGCAAGAAAAGAACACGTGGTTTCCAATTTAAAAAAAAAAGAAAATTAAAAATTAAAAGAACGCAAGGTTTTAAATAATACAGTAATGACATTACCGTTACAAACAATAAACCTGCCGTTACAAACAAGGAACCTGCCGTTACAAACAATTAAGCTGCCGTTACAAACAATAAACCTGCCGTTACAAACAATAAACCTGCCGTTACAAACAATAAACCTGCCGTTAAAAACAATTAACCTGCCGTTACAAACAAGGAACCTGCCGTTACAAACAAGGAACCTGCCGTTACAAACAATAAACCTGCCGTTACAAACAATAAACCTGCCGTTACAAACAATTAACCTGCCGTTACAAACAATAAACCTGCCGTTACAGACAATAAACCTGCCGTTACAAACAATTAACCTGCCGTTAATTAATTGACAAATGCCTCACATGTTATTTTTATTTTACGTCGTCGCCCTCACAATGTCCTCACAAGAATGTCAGCGCCCTCATAATGTCCTCACAAGAATGTCGTCGCCCTCATAATGTCCTCACAAGAATGTCAGCGCCCTCAAAATGTCCTCACAAGAATGTCGTCGCCCTAATAATGTCCTCACAAGAATGTTGTCGCCCTCATAATGACCTCACAAGAATGTCAGCGCCTCCATAATGTCCTCACAAGAATGTCAGCGCCCTCATAATGTCCTCACAAGAATGTCAGCGCCCTCATAATGTCCTCACAAGAATGTCAGCGCCCTCATAATGTCCTCACAAGAATGTCGTCGCCCTCATAATGCTCTCACAAGAATGTCGTCACCCTCATAATGTCCTCACAAGAATGTCAGTGCCCTCATAATGTCCTCACAAGAAGAGGTCAGAGACCTGAGACGCTCTGTACATACGGGCGGTGAGTGGTGATGGCTGTGAAGAATTATTCTATTAAGACGGTATATATATACCATTTTTCCTGTTCATATATGTAGAATATCTCGTATATTATTAGGGAAATAAAAGGAAGGTATCATAGAATGAACAGGAAAATAATAGAAATTGTCCTTAAAATAAAAGAAAAATAGGGGAAATCACAGACAATAATCCAAAAAATAATTGAAAAATAATGCAATAATGATAAAAAGTAATAGAAAAATAACAAACAAAATAGGGATATAACAACCAAATTATAAGAAAAAGGAAAATATTCGGGGAATGACTAAAAAATATCAGCAGAATGATGAAAATATACCACGAAAAAATAACCCCAAAATAATAGAAAAATATCAAGGAGATAAAAAATCAGAAAAATAACAGAAAAACTGTAGGAATATAACCAAAATATAACAGAATAATAACGTTTCAAGGCACTAAAATTATATGAACTCGAATAATTAAATAATAAATTCAGTATAATTTTGTTCCAATTTTAAGTGTTTCACTCATTTCTTCCTAAGATGAAATGATCATCAAATTCTCAAGATAATTAAAATATTAAATAATTAATAAATGTTTTTTGTAGATTAAAAACTTTTGGAAAATCCTTAACGATTTGTAAGTGAATTATTTATAAAATGACCTAAGAAATAAAAATTAGTGCACAAAATTTCTAAGAGTTTTATGAGAAAACTGAGGCTGTAATGAAATTGTAATGCCTTTAAAAGTCACGAATTCAATTATAAAAGATTATTGTTAATAGAATTGTTTTTAAAAACGCCAGAAAAATTATATTGAAATCTGTAGATCATCCCAATAATTTGATAAATAATATAATATTTCATCATTATACGGTCCCCAATTTACATTAATTACAGCACCTTCTTATATATAAATATTGTATACAATCATTAATTTGAACCATTAACATACTTAATAGAATTGTTTTTAAAAACGCCAGAAAAATTATATTGAAATCTGTAGATCATCCCAATAATTTGATAAATAATATAATATTTCATCATTATACGGTCCCCAATTTACATTAATTACAGCACCTTCTTATATATAAATATTGTATACAATCATTAATTTGAACCATTAACATACTTAACTGTAATATAATATAATATAATATAATATATATTAATATAATAATATAANTACAGCTGTCTCTTATACACATCTAGATGTGTATAAGAGACAGGATAACGATCGTAGCACTGATACGCTTTTTGCCTGGCCAAACTGTGTCAGGATGACCCACATCCGCAAAAAGTGCTCTGCCATTCAGTAAAACTCTCACTAATTTTTTTAGTATCATTTAATTATTTTATTAATATTATTTCTATTATTTTTTATTAAAAGTTATTTATCATTATTATTATTTTATTATTCATTGTTATTATTATTGTATCATTAATTATTATTATTATTAGTAACATTTTATTATTGATTAATATTATTATTATTAATAATGATTATTATTATTATTATTCAGGAAATAATGTGTGAACTAGCGCACTTAGTGCTGCTAGTGACTGTACTAGCGCTGCCATCCAGCACGGTCGGTTTACTGCCGGGGGAGCGCAGTTCTGACCCACTTAATGACATCGCCGCCATCTCCCACACCGACACAAACTTGATGCACCTACCCATCGGCAACTCCCCCCAGGTGTGTCATTGGTGATGGGGGTGATGGTGGGTGATGGTGGGTGATGGTGGGTGATGGGTGATGGCGGGTGATGGTGGGTGATGGTGGGTGATGGTGGGTGATGGGTGATGGTGGGTGATGGTGGGTGATGGACGATAGTGGGTGATGGGTGGTAATGGGTGATGATTGACCAAGGTAAATTCAAAATATTTTAAAAGTGAGAAAATTTATTCGAATTTTTGTGCATAGAAATTGATGGCAGTTGTTTACTCATCATGTGTTCAAATTCACCATGAATTTTACTCAGCAATCCATCTCAGTTGTTTACTCATAAAGAAATTCATGATTAATTCATATTATTCACGATGAATTTGACTCATTAATTCATGCCTCACCCCAACAGTTGGAGGATGACATCCCGGGGTCACCGCTCACCCCCGACGAATTTAATTACGAACTCCCTGGTGCGTGTATACCTTGCCTTAATTAATAATGATATACTGTTATATATTCATTAAACAATATGACAATATAATATATATAATATAATATAACAACATATTTTATATAAAACAAAATAACAATTTCATATATTATTAGTTATTTTCTTCTATATGAAATATTATATTGTTATATTGTTTCCTTTATAATATGTTTGTTATTTCGTATTGTAAAACAATATAAATATATATTAGGTATTAGACAATATAATATTATAATATATATTAAACAAAATAATAATATAATATATATAAAACTCTATAACAATATAATATGTATAAACACTATAAACCATATAATATACATAACACAATATAAGAATATAACGTTATATATTAAGCAATTTAACAATATAATATATAAAACAATACAACAATATAATATTCACCCCTCTCCCACCCCCCAGCGGAGGACTACATCCCGCAGGACGGGGTGGCAGATCCTATCATGTTCGCGGAGGCCTTCCAGGGCGACATCGTGCTGGTGGACCACGAGGAGCTCATGCGCATGACTATGGTGAGTAATTGTGTTATTATATAGTATAATAATTATATGGTAATATAATAATTTTTGAGTATTAATAATAAATAATAATAATAATTATGTTCGTAATAATTCGTCCTAATGGACCACGAGGAAGTTATGCGCATGGCTATGGTGATTAGTTATGTTATTATATATGGAATTTTATATTGTATATGGTTATATATTAATTTTTGATTGTTAATATTAATTAATAATAATAATTATGTTCATAATAATTTGTTCTAATGGACCACGAGGTCCATAGTCATTGCGCATGACTATGGTGATTAAATATTTTATTGAATATGATAAATTTTATATTGTATATGGTGTTATAATAATATTTGAGTATTATATTATATAATAATAATGATAATTATGTGTATAATAATTCATTCACTTGGATGAGGATAAACTCATGATCATGACCATGATAATTAATTATATTATGATATATGAACTTTTATATTGTATGTATTGATATATTAATGTTTGAAAATTAATAATAATCAATAGGAATAATTATTATATTCCTATATTACTTTATTATATTATATATAATTATAATTATATACAATATAATTATATTATATTATGTGGTGAAATACTAATTTTCGATATATTGTGATATAATAATATTTGATTAATTATAATCATTAATAATAATTATTTTTATAATAATTTGTCCGCTTAGATAAGGAGGAACTCAAGATAATGACAGCGGTCTTTTACTTCTCAGTTTTATTATTAATTATAATAAATATTAATTGGCAATTTAAATATTAATTATAATAGCTAATACTTTGCAATTTCATTATAACTTATAATAACTATTACTTTACTATTTCATTATTATTTATAATAACTATTACTTTACAAATTCATTATTAATTATAATAACTATTACTTTACAATTTCATTATTAACTATAATAACTATTACTTTACTATTTCATTATTATTTATAATAACTATTACTTTACAAATTCATTATTAATTATAATAACTACTACTTTAAAATTTTATTAATAATTATAGTAACTAATACGGTACTTTACAATTTCATTGTTATTTATAATAAGCACTAATTTACAATTTCATTATTAATTATAATAACTATTACTTTACAATTTCATTATTAATTATAATAACTATTACTTTACAATTTCATTATTAATTATAATAACTATTACTTTAAAATTTCATTATTAATTATAATACCATTATCTTACAATTTCATTATTAATTATAATAACGATTACTCTACACTTTCATTATTAACTATAATAACTATTAATTTATAATTTCATTATCATTTATAATAACTAACACTTCATAATTTCATTATTAATTATAATAAAATATAATTTACAATTTCAATATTAATTATAATAACCATTAATTTACGATTTCATTAATAATTTTAATAAATATTACTTTACAATTTCATGTTTAATTATAATAACTATTACTTTACAATTTCATTATGAATTATAATAACTATTACCTTAAAATTAAATTATTAATTATAATAACTTTAACTTTAAAATTTTATTATTATTTATAATACTACTATTTGACAATTTCATTATTAATTATTATAACTATTACTTTACAATTTCATTTTAATTATAATAACTATTACTTCTATGATTTATTTATTAATTATAAGAACCATTACTTTACAAATTCATTATTAATTTTAGTAACTTTTACTTTTATAATTTATTTATTAATTATAATGATTCAAACGCAGCCTTCACACGAGACGATCTCGACGAGGAACGCAGTCATCAACCGACGCCGGACGTGGGAAGACAGAAAAATACCTTACGTTATCTCTGCCAGTTACAGTGAGTGACAGATACCTTACGTTATCTCTGCCAGTTACAGTGAGTGACAGATACTTTACGTTATCTCTGACGTAACATTTCCATTGTCTTTAAACTTCAAACTTAAATTAATCTTGAACTCTATTAACTATCATTATCGTAATAACTATAATAATTGTCTAATATAATTATTATGATACATCACAATATATAAAAATATATAAATTGTCAAAAATAATAATATAAAAAATATCATCATTAATAATATCAAAAATAAAAAAAAATACAACTAATATCAAAAATTATTATAATATATAAAAAATTATAATAATAATAAATTATCTAAATTATAATAATTTAATAATTACATGTACTATTATAATAATTATAATATAATAATTAACAGATCAGGACGAGCGCGGCAAGATCGCGGTTGCCATGCAAAACTTCAAGGACGCGACTTGCCTTGAATTTGTTCCCCGCGCTCGACAAACTGACTACCTGCACCTACACAAAGGCGCGGGGTGAGTGTACCTGACTACCTGCACCTGCACAAAGGCGCGGGGTGAGTGTACCTGACTACCTGCACCTGCACAAAGGCGCGGGGTGAGTGTACCTGACTACCTGCACCTGCACAAAGGCGCGGGGTGAGTGTACCTGACTACCTGCACCTGCACAAAGGCGCGGGGTGAGTGTACCTGACTACCTGCACCTGCACAAAGGCGCGGGGTGAGTGTACCAGACTACCTGCACCTGCACAAAGGCGCGGGGTGAGTGTACCAGACTACCTGCACCTGCACAAAGGCGCGGGGTGAGTGTACCAGACTACCTGCACCTTCACCTGTCTCTTATACACATCTAGATGTGTATAAGAGACAGACCTGCACCTGCACAAAGGCGCCAGACAATATTGATTATTATTGGAATTGATTGCAGGTTCTCCAGCATCGTGTGGGTAACCAGGAGGTAATTATTGCAGGAGGTAATCCAGTATCATTGGAGTAACCATATGGTAATTACTGCAGGTGCTCGAGCATCGTGGGCAAGATGGGGGTAATCAGGAGGTAATCTAGCATACTTAGAATAACCATACGGTATTTATTGCAGGAAGTAATCTAGTATCATTTGAGTAACCACATGGTAATCATTACAGATGCTCCAGCATCGTGGGCAAGATGGGGGTAATTATTGCAGGAGGTAATTCAGTATCATTGGAGTAACCATATGGTAATCATTACAGGTGCTCCAGCATCGTGGGCAAGATGGGGGGTAATCAGGAGGTATCCCTGGGCGAAGGATGCCTGTACGTAGGAATCATCATGCACGAGCTGATGCACGCCGTAGGATTCTGGCACGAACAATCCCGGCAGGATCGCGACGATTACATCAGGATTAACTTCAATGAAATTCAGAGCGGCATGGAGTATAATTTCAAGAAATATAATTGGGATACAATATCGAACCTGTCCGCTCCCTACGATTTATGTGAGTAATTAATTAATTAAATTGATTTAATTAAGAAAATTGATTAATTAATTTAACTAACAAATTAAGTTAATTATTTAATTTAATTACCTAATTGATTTTATTATTTAATTTAAGTAACTAATTGACTTTTTAATTTAATTTAATTTAATTTAATTTAATCAACTAATTAATTAAATTATCTGTGAGTAATTAATTTAAAAATTAAGTTAATAAATATATTGACGTACCCACCACAATTAATCAGTTCAACAATGAGTTAATTGAAAGTGTTGCATTGAAATGTAACGCGCAACACGTTGAATTTTAACCCAATCGTTATAACCATCATTCTCCCCTCTAGTGCCATTAAATATGTCCAGCATTCTGTCCATAAGTGCTAATTATGATGTCCTCACTGTCCACCAAACTGTCCATCATTCTGTCCACAATATGCATATATATTTTGTCCACTAATATACAGCATTTTATCCCCAATTCTGTCTATCCACCAGTCTCCATCATTCTGTTCAACAATATACATCATTTTATCCCCATTCTGTTTGTCCACCAGTCTCCACCATTCTGTCCACCAAAATACGTCATTTTATCCCCCATTCTCTCTGTCAACCATTCCGTCCATCATTCTGTCCACCAATATACATAATTTATCCCCCATTCTGTCTGTCCATCATTCTGCCCACCTATATACATCATTTTATCCCCATTCAGTCTGTCCATCAGTGTCCACCAATCTTTCCACCATTCTGTCCACCAATATACATAATTTTATTCCCAATTCTTTCCATCGTTTTTTCCACCAATGCATAAGTATTCTGTCCACCAATATTAATCATTTTATCCTCAATTCTGTCTGTCCATCAGTGTCCATCATGCACTATGGCTCCAAGTCTTTCTCCAAGAGCGGCCGCAATACCATCGAGGCCAAAGACGGCACACCTATAGGCCAGCGCAACGGCTTCTCTAGGGTGAGGGTAGAACCTGTACAGGGTGAGGGTAGAACCTGTACAGGGTGAGGGTAGAACCTGTACAGGGTGAGGGTAGAACCTCTACAGGATGAGGGTAGAACCTCTATATGGTGGGGGTAGAACCTCTACAGGGTGAGGTAGAACCTCTACAGGGTGAGGGTGAAACCTCTACAGCGTGAGGGTAGAACCTCTACAGGGTGAGGGTAGAACCTCGACAGAGTGAGGGTACAACCTCTACAGGGTGAGGGTAGAACCTCTACAGGGTGAGGGTTGAACCTCTTAAGGGTGAGGGTAAAACCTCTACAGGGTGAGTGTAGAACCTCTGAAGGGTGAGAATAAAAGGAAATACAAGTTCTTAAATTAGGTGACGTAAGCGTGGAGGAATTCCAAGCGGTTTTCGAAGACAAAATTTCTGCTGTGCGAGCGTCGTCGGCCGATGCTCCTCTAGCAAAATTTGAGCCGTGCCCGTTCGATTGCGTGCTTCAAGCATTCACTTGCGTCACAGAAGGAAACGTCATCGCTGCAGTGCGCACGCTACCTAACAAGCAGTGTGCCAGCGATCCGCGGTCGACGTCCTTACTAAGGGGAATGTTGAAGCCATAACACCTTTTCTGGTCGAACTTTTCAACCGCTGCGTCAATGACGGTGTTGTTCCGATGAACTTCAAATCAGCTTTCATTACGCCTCTATTAAAAAACAGACCTTGACGCTTCCGATCCCAAATTATATCGACCCATCTCCAAACTGTTGATTTTGTCGAAGCTCCTGGAACGCGATGTGGCCCGACAGCTGAACAACCACCTTCTGCAGTCCGGTCTCATGCCTCGCCTCCAGTCTGCATACCGTCATCTCCACTTGACGAAAACCGCTGTGCTGAAGGTGCCTTCAGACATTCTGCGTGCAGTAGGCCGTGGCAACATTGCGGCACTAGCTTTACCCGACCTGTCGGCGGTCTTTGACACGGTCGACCAAGTCACTTTGTTGCGTCGACTTGATGCATCATTCGGCCTGCGCGGCAGAGTGCTGAGGTGGTTCGAGTCCTATCTCAGCAATAGATTCCAATGCGTTCGACACGGGAACTCTTCTTCTACGTCATCGTTGGTCACTTGCGGCGTGCCACAGGGATCGTACTCGACCCGATCCTCTTCCTCTTATATACTATCGACGTATTGCATATAATTGATTCAGATAGTTTAAATCCGCGTATGTTCGCCGACGACACCCAAATGTATGGCAACGGTGCATCGGCTGACGCCACTGCGTTGCAGGATCAGATGTTTGCCTGAATAGACGCTGTCTCAGACTGGATGCGCTCCCAATTAACAGGCTCCAGCTCACTGCATCGAAAACCGACTTTATTTGGTTTGCGACTGCTCGGCGCTAGCATCAGCTTCCGGCCAACCCTGTTCGCGCGGACAACGAGTTCGTTATGCCTGCGTCTGCAGTTCGCAACCTGAGCATTCTGCTGGACTCGAAACTTTCAATGAACAGTTACATTGCCAAAGTCACCACCGCTTTCTTTGGCGCTCTGCGATGAATACGTAGCATCAGCCGTTGTTTTTCGAGGCCGGTACTCGAGGCCCTCGTGGTGGCGCTCGTTCTGACCAGATTGGACTATGGTAATGCCACACTTTCGAAACTTCTGACCAAGGCACTTAATAAACTGCAATCCGTAATGAAAGCTGCTGCTCGACTCATGTGCAATAAGCGAAAATTCGCCGATGTGACGCCGATATTGTGCGATCTTCACTATCTGCGCATTCAGCAGCTCACGCAGTTCAAGGTCGCTGTTCTGACATTCCGATGCCTTCATGATCTGGCGCTTCCTTATCTCACGAATGGTCGACAGCGCGTGTCGGATCTGCCTTCTAGAAGACGATTGCTCTAGTCATCAACAGCGGACCTCGTCTTACCATCTACACGTCTATCTACCGTCGGCGACAGCGTTCGTCATCAACAGCGGACCTCGTCGTACCATCTACACGCCTGTCTACCGTCGGCGACAAAGTGTTCCCGGTCGCCACAGCCAGAACCTGGAACAGTCTATGCCGGCTTCCTTAACTTCGGCTCCTTCGTTGCCGATGTTTCGTCGATGCCTAAATACGAACCTATTTCGAAGAGCCCATGAATCTAGTGCTTAGTCATTTTATCCGTTCCCATCCTTTCTTGTGTCTATTTATTTTTCACTTTATTTTAATCTTATGTGTGACGTGCCCTCGAAGTTCGTTTGAACCAGACGCCACGATAAATGCTTCGTAGTATAATATACATTGTATTAACAACACAAAATGAACAATGCATTTTATTAACAACACAAAATATACAATACATTGTATTAACAACACAAAATGAACAATGCATTGTATTAACAATACAAAATATACAATACATTGTATTAACGACACAAAATGAACAATACATTGTATTAACAACACAAAATATATAATACATTCCCTAACAAAATTTGGGGACTGCCTAGGGTTCGGCCGAATAGTTGTTACACTCGGCGCAGAGTCATTCTGGGTACACTTGGCCATCCGATCAAAATCAGAATCTCCTTTCCGACTTTATAGTCGCCCCAGAGTATGAGAAGAGTGGGCCGAGCCTAGTCATACCGAGCTAACAACCCTATCAAAATTTTTAGCTGGTCGAGACTCTGAATTAGGAACCGCCTAGGAATCGGACCGAACATAAATCAGCTGCAAGCTGCCCAGAGGCTCCCTTCGAACCCTGAGCCGAAGCGGACATAGAGAAGCTGATTTACGTGCTCCTCGAGTCATAGGTGGTTCCTAATACAGGGTCGCCACCAACTCAAAATTTTGATAGGGTTGTTTTAGCAACACAGAATATAAAATACATTGTATTAACAACACAAAATATACAATACATTGTATTAACAGCTCTGGACTGTGTGGACAACTGGGAGGACGGCAGCAAGTGTAAGCACTGGGCGCGTCTGGGAGAGTGCGAGAAGAACCCTAGCTTCATGATGGTCAGCTGTCGCAAGTCATGCAACAACTGCCGTAAGAATAGCATTATAATGTTATAATATGTGTTATATATTATATTATATGTTATATTAGATTTCTATATAATCTGTTATATTATATTATTATATGGTATATAATGATTTGTTAGAACCCCAGCTTCATTATGATCATCTGTCGCAAGTCATGCAACAACTGCCGTAAGAATAGCATTATAATGTTATAAAATGTTTTATATAATATATTATATTATTATAGCATCTGTTATATTATATTATTATATGGTATGTAATAATATGTTAGAAGAGCACCAGCTTCATTTTGGTTATATGTCGCAAGTCATGCAACAATTGTCTTAAGAATGTCATTATAATTTCATAATATCAACTTAACTATAATTGCAAATTTATCTAGAATGTCATTTGCTTTTAGTAGGCAATAATAATGTGGAGATTAGATTATGTAGGTGAAAATGTAGATTATTATCCTTCTTAGTAAGCGTTTCGGATGTAAAAGCCTCGGGTTACGCTGAGGTGCTGTCTTAATTTTACGTCCTCACCAACCCACACTTCCATCACAGGTCCCTCATCTCCTCTCTCCCCCACTTTTAACCCCCCTCTCTCCCACCCATACCCACCTTCTCCATACATAACCCCCTTATCCTCCACCTATATCCCCCTCTCCTCCACCTAAAACTCCCCTATCCTCCACCTATAACCACTTTCTCCTCCATCTATATCCCCTATTTCCTCCACCTATAACTCCTCTCTTCCCACCTTTAAACCCACTCTTCTCTTCCTATATTCCTCTACCCTACCCATAACCCCGTCCCGCCTACTTAGCTATGAACCTCCTGTTCCCCACCAATAACCCCCCTCTTCAACCAATACTTGCCTCTCCACACCTATAATCCTCCAATCCACCACCCAAAACTACCCTTTCTCCCCCCTCCAGAGAAGTGTGAAGACACCAACGCCCACTGCGACTTCTGGGCCAAAAATGGCGAGTGCACCAAGAACTTTGCGTACATGGAGAGTGCTTGCAAAAAGTCCTGCAAGCTGTGCCACGCACGCGGTGAGTTTCATGCCCTTAGTGAGTAACAGGTCCTTGGTGAGTGTCATGCCAGCTAGGGGCGACACTCCCTGGCGAGTCTCATGCAGGAGCGGTTGATGTCACCCCAAAATTCCAGACCAATCTCCTTGACCTCACTGGTGATCAAGGTGTTTGAGAAAGTAGTGGCGAGGAGGCTTGTCCAGTATACGGAAAAAGATGAGCTGTAAAATAATGGACAATGTGGTTTTCGGCAAAACAGCTTCTGTATGTCACTGTTATTGGAGCACCATGGCCGCCGTATGGCCCTTCTGGAGGAGGGAGCCGGCGTAGACATGGTATACCTGGACCTGGCTACAGCGTTTGACCGAGTTGATCAAATAGTGCTCTACAGAAAGCTAATTAGGCGACTAGGGGCAGGCGAAAGCCTGGTAGGGTGGATCGACAACTTCCTTTTGGACAGGGTACAAGCCAAGCTGTCGCAATTGGAGACTAGAAAGATTGTTTCACCGAAGAGATTGTTTCACCGAAAGATATTTTAGCGAAGCGAGGGTGAAAACCGGAGTGCAATAGGGCCGAGTGCTTGGCCCTATCCTCTTCCTCGTCCTCATAGGCGGCATCAACCCAGAACATACCCACGCATCTATATATAGTCATTTACGGACAATTAAGGAGTGCCGATAAGGATCACAGACGACTTCGTCTGCGAGAGATTACAGGATGACTTGTCGACAATCTGCGATTAGGCTGTAGTAAAATAAATGCAATTCAATGGCATCAAGTTTGAAGTAATGAGATACAGAATCGGTATACAGGTCGGGATCCTGCATCGCTACTTGGCACCGGACAGCACAGCCATCGAGGAGAAGCAACTTATTCGTGATTTTGGGGTATAATTAATACCGAAGCTACGTTTAATGACCACGGTGCTGCAATAGTTACGAAAGGCAGGCAACAGATGGATTGGATCTGGCGGACATTTCAAACAAGAGAAGCGGCGCCATTGATTACACTGTTCAGAGCCCTCGTGCTCTCCATTCTTGAGTACTGCTGCCAGCTTTGGACGCCACTCAAGGCGGCTCCAACAACTGGATTGGCTCGAAATTTTGAAAGTAGGACCTTCTGGATAGTTAAATTTCACAAACAATGAAGGGAAGGGAAGACTGTACAGGAAATCCCTATTTAACAACCGAGCTTCGGCCAGAGTTCAAACTCTTCGGAAGGGAAATTTTTCTGTGGCAATTTCGAAAAAAGTTAGAGGAGACGGGGGTAACCATTGCAACATTCAAGAGACGCCAGGATTAATTTTTTAGCAAGATCCCGGAATGTCCGGTTATGGGCCACTACCCTTGGCAAATGGCATGCAACAACAATTTGCACCAGATGGCCCATCTGATGGCATCAGTTGGCGGCAACGAGGACAGCTCTGTCGCGGGCAACCTGCCTTTCGACGGCTAGGGGACGGTTGACAACGAAGGCGGCACTTCAGCGTAGCCTCGGACCAGGAAGTCCCAAACTTGACATAAAGACATAATTGCTCCCCGCCCATAGTTAGTGCCGTGTCATACTAATAGTTAATAAGAGCTTTTATTGCCTACTTAACATAGTGATCGGTTACCAA